AATACATGTTTCACAAAATTTATGACTGCGTTTTTAATTATACAATATTTATCCTGTTGATTTTGAATCTTGTGCCTAACAAATATCCTCACTTAGAAAAAAAAAAAAAACTAATACTGAAACTAATAAAAACTAAACTAAAACTAAGACATTTTAAAATATAAAAACTAATAAAAACTGGGAAATCTGCCTCTAAAACTAACTGAATTTGAAAACAAAAAGTCAAAACGAAATAGAAACTAAAACTAATGAAAAATCCAAAACTATTATAACCTTGGTGTCAGTCCATTAAGCTGTCTTCCAGGTTGTCTCTCTAGTCTTGTCTTGTTGTTTGGTGTTATCCCTTCCAGTCGTGTCTCGCCTGGCCGTCATCCAGCTTCTAGCGCACAGTCCTTCTTGTGTATGTTCCCACTGGCTCATCTCCCTCTGTTCACAGGCACCATCATCCCCTCCGCACTGAATTCTCCGGCATCACCTTTTTATTATTTTTATTATTATTCTTTGGCTGTTATTTGTGGCCCTGACTACAGTTTTGCTGTTCATTTAATTTGGACCTGCATTTGTGTCCTTCCAGTCCCATTCCTGACAAAAATATTGAAAGGCTAAAAAAATTGCCACAGCGGAATGAACTGCCACCTTATGCTCCATATGTTTTACACAGCGTATGCCCTTCCAGCCGCAACCCATTCCTGGGAAACATCCACATATTCACACTCATACACTACGGACAATTTAGCCTACGCAATTCACCTCTACCACATGTGTTTGGACTGTGGGGAAAACCAGAGCACCCAGAGGAAACCTATGCGAATGTAACCCCTCTTAGTTCGTACGTTTTTTTTTATAATGGTCACATGGAAGCAGTTTACCTGAACAAGTTCACTTTATAGTGTTCTCCAAAAGAAAACAGGGCTCCACACAGACAATAAGTGTACCAGGTCTGGTCATCAGAAAAAATCACTCTCAACAGCTCTTGAACAACAAGTGAACTGACAAAATGGCCGGCTGACTCCACCCATTATACCCCCTTTCTCACCTGTAGGTGTCTATTTTTCCCCATGATGTATTAAACAGTTTAACAGTGAACATAGGATTTTGATTTAATTAGAACAGATATTTTTTACAAAAACAAGCATTTTGACACCATTCATACTCAATTCACAATTTCATTTTTTCCCCCGTTACATGAACGCAGGGAGAACATGCAAACTCCACACAGAAACGCCAACTGACCCAGCCGAGGCTCGAACCAGCGACTTTTTTGCTGTGAGGCGACAGCACTACCTACTGTGCCACTGCGTCACCAACATAAAACAAAGCATACGATAATTCTTTTAATTCATAGGTTAATTATTAAATATCTGTTGTGTATATGACATGGGCCTGTTGGTTAGAACTTTCTGCTGTGATTTGCATGTGCTAAATTGTAAAAGTAGTTTTTCAAAAAAATTTAAAATAAATAAACAACATCCTGCTTAATAATATTAATAACAATCATAATCATCATCATCATTAGTATTATTAATATTATTATTAAAGTAGGCATTATTTTTTTAATTTCCTAATAAATAATAAATTTCATTTCCCTATAAATAGCCTTATTATTTATTTATTTTAATGATATTAGAATACGTGTTAGCTTTTGTAAGTGATTTTATGTTTTAGAATAGAATATGTAATGTTCTCAATAATATTAGTAAAGCAAACATAAGCCCCTTATTTACATATTTCAATTAATATGGAAAGCGAGTGCATGTTTTTACCAAAACTAATATTGGATTTTATTTTAAATGCATGTGCGTGTAAAACAGTATCATTTGCACAAAGAAATGATGGGGTTCTTCTCTAAAGAAGTTGTTACTCCACCCCGTTTAGAGCATCATTATGTGGTTCAAGCGATGGATCTGCGACAGAGAAACTAGGGGTTTTGATTTGAACTATGATAGTTCAGCCGCGAGTTACGTCGTTGTCTGCTTGTTGTACTTGCATTAAAACGACAATAAAATTATAAATTATCCACTTAATTGGACTGTGTATTTCTAATTGTGGCATTGAAGACATTATTGTTAACAATATCATCCTGTCACATATTGATCCAAATGCATACTGTATCTCACACACATACACACACATTCAGTACAAAATAAAACAGGTTTTCTTTCTAAAGTTGCAAAGCATGCTTCAACTTGCTAGAGGAAGTAACAAGGCATAACATAAGACCACGGTACAAACTGATTTTTCATTTTATTTTTTTATTTGAGCAGGGTTGCTTTTAAACAAAGCATAAAAACAGGAAGTACAAGCTTTTTTTAACTTTAAAACACACCTAATTTGCAGTTCACAATAAAGAGTACAATTTACACTGATAATCTCAAGTTTACAGGTCTATCAAGAAGTTACTTTAATCATGTTTTAAAATAAGAATGGTATCATTCATCATCACTTTAAATATTATTTTGAGTTCTGTGCTGTGGTTAAGAAACACAAAAACAGATAGAGCTTATGGGGTATTGTGGCAGGATGCAATGATGTTGCAAAAACTTTTCAAGGCATGCTAACTAGCCTATATGATGTTGTTAATATTTAACATTTCATCCATACACATAGCATATAATTAAGTGAGCATTTCTTTCTATAGCCATAGCAACACGTCTGAGTAAACATAATCCCTTTTAAATGTTAAACATTTGTAATTAAAACCTCATATATATTTTGGCATGAAAGAAGATGTCTTAGCTGACATGAAAGTACATATATAGACAGGAAATACTTTCTAAATGTTCCATCAGCTCAATCTCTGGTTATGCCTAATGTCGTATATCAGTGCACTGTATAGTTGCCAAAAACAGCATAATTTTTAACATGATAATTTTTGGGGCAACTGTAAAAAAACAAGCTTCTCAATGCACAAGATCTTTGCATACTGAGTGAGACATCTGACCACAACTTTCATTTATTTTTATGCAGCAGATGGACTTCCAGCCACAACCCAGTACTGGGAAACACACTCTTATACTATCAATTTAGTTTACTCAATTTACCTTTAGTGCATGTCTTTGTACTGTGGGGAAAATCGGAGCACCCGTACAAAACGCACACGAACATAGGGAGAACATGCAAACTCTACACAGAAATGCCAACTGACCCAGTTAAGGCTCGAACCAGCGACCTTCTTGCTGTGAGGCGACAGCAGTAACCACTGAGCATAGTGCCACCCCCCACCCCCCTCTCTCCTAACATATCAGTGCAATTGTGCTTTTAAACCTATGAAAAACATTACAAGTTAATACATTTCTGAAAAGATTGATTTACAATTTAAACCTTAACTTATCAGCATCTATATTAGACTCCGTGCTAGCAGTTATTGTGGTAAAAACATCCCATACAAACATAAATCTATAGAGGCACAGAAACATTTTGAGTTTTTTAAAAATGTTTTTTTTTTTCCAAGTGCCTGGCAAAGATTAATCGCAATTTTTTGTTCATACATTTTCCTTTGGCTTAGTCTCTTTATTAATCTGGGGTCGCCACAGCAGAATGAACCACCAACTTATCCAAGACATGTTTTGAGCTTTGGATGCCCTTCCAGCTGCAACCTATAACTGGGAAACACCCATACAATTTCATTTACACACATACACAAAAACAAAAGTTTGTTTTGATGTGTGTGCATTATATATTTTACTTTATTATTTTATTTGTGCATTATACAGTATCTTCATTATATTTACACATACATTCAAATAGAACTGCACAAACCTTTTTTTTTTTTGCATACAGTACATATATAAATGTGCATACAGTGCTCAGCTTAATAGAGTACACCCCATTTTAAAAATGAATATTTTTATCCATTTTTCAGTGAATATAGGCATGTAAACAGATATATTCATACATTCATTCATTTTCTTTTTGGCTCAGTCCCTTTATCAATCCAGGGTCGCCACAGCGGAGTGACCTTCCAACTTATCCAGCATTTGTTTTACGCAGTGGATGCCCATCCAGCCACAACCCATCTCTGGGAAACAACCATACACACTCATTCACACTCATACACTACGGACAATTTAGCTTACCCAATTCACCTGTACCGCATGTCTTTGGACTGTGGGGGAAACCAGAGCACCCGGAGGAAACCCACGTGAACACAGGGAGAACATGCAAACTCCACACAGAAACGGCAACTGACCCAGCAGAGGCTTGATTTAGCGACCTTCTTGCTGTGAGGCGACAGCACTACCTACTGCGCCACTGCGTCACCTAAACAGATGTATTTATAAACTTATATTTTAGTCACCGAACATTTAGAAATTTAAAGATAGAACATTTTAATTTAAACAAATTGTTAAAACTAAAAAATTTCAACAAATAGTTATATATTTTAATTTCTCTTGATTTTTACACTTTAAAAAAACTGGGGGGAAACCGGAGCACCCGGAGGAAACCCACGCCAACACGGGGAGAACATGCAATCTCGACATAGAAATGCCAACTGACCCAGCCGATGCTCGAATCTTGCTACCCACTGTGCCACCATGACGCCTGTGTGTATGATCCATAATATACACAGTACACAATAGCCAGTCTAACAGTTTTAAAATTATTGTCACTTGTAAAAAAAAAAAAGCTTCAAATGATATAAAAATGGGAACATATGGAAAGTGAATTTTTTTTAAAAATATTTATTTAAATCTAAATAACCCTGCTATTTTTCTTCCCACAGTGGAGTGGTTTGTCACATTTTGCCAATGCACATTATATATATATATATATATATATATATATATATATATATATATATATATATATATATATATATATATATATATATATAGATTTAATAATTATATATATTAGATTTAAATAAATATTTTAAATAATTATATATATATATATATATATATATATATATATATATACACACACACACACACACACACACACACACACACACACACACACACATATATATATATATATTTTTTTTTTTTTTTAAATAATGCATGATTATATAAAAAGTACTGTAAACTGTAAAAACTTTATTTGTATTTCAAATATTCTCTACATATTGTTTACTTTTACAGTGGTGTTGCTTGTACAGTTATTGGAAAATGCCCTGACAGAAAATTCTCTATTATTACATTTTTTATATACTTGAGAATTAAAATTAATAAAACAAATGAAGTGAGATACTTGAAAATGTATTTGTAATAATGTTAAATACATATTTTATACATATTTTCAGTTTTTGTTGTCAAAGATTGATGGAAGAGAACAATCCAATCTTCACACACAGGTGTAATCTGAGAACCTGGTCCCTCCTATTTATAGAAAAAAATCGACCTGTAAAGGAAAAATCGACCTATAAGGTAAACACTTTCATTTATGGAATTGCAAAACGACTGGTAAGTTGTTTTTCTGGCTCAAGACTTGTTTTTTCTGACCTTTAATCCAATTTTTTTTTAAATAAAAATTGTCGTACATACGTAAATATTAAGTATTACAGATTTAAAAACATTTTATATACTGTATATGGCAAAGCTATATTTAAAGAGAGCTTGTTACATTTTGACTTAAAATGGCTGGAAACGGATTATTTCAGCTATGACTTTTTTAAGAAAATATTTTGACACGATATTACATTACATTTATATAGGCCTACTTCCTTACGAAGACAAGGTGTTTAAAAATCAGTTGATTATAGCATATAGTGCATAACTGGTAAATCTAAATCGAAACAATAAACTGCGTCAAAATAAACAGCAAAGCAAAATAGCCTAAACTAAACACCTTTGTGATAGTTTGAGTTTGACTGCTTTATTGCTAAATGTTAATCGAATTAATAAACCTCGTCAACATTTAGAAAAAAAAATAACCCCACCTTTGTTTAGTTTAAAATGCTTTCACTTTCGAAATCATTTGATCTCGTCAATTTTAGTTGAATGAAATTAACGCCTAACCATTTAGATTTAGGCATGAGAATTGTTTAAAAGTGCATTATTATTCGTTTTGGGCACATTTCCCAAAACGCCGTTTTCGAATAATATAGATACAGATTACCATTGAAATGCTGAAAATTATACAATTGAGTGAGAATATGAGGTACTTCAGCCATGGAAATCCCAAATTTTCTTGTTCCTTTATTTTCTTTTCTTGTTCTGTAAACAAACAGCAGCAAATTTTTGTTGGAAATTCATGTGTAGCCTAATATGAATACATTAGAACTGCATTTCACACACCTGTTATTTTTAGAGTTGTCCCGTTACCCAAGATGTAACGAAGATCATCATAAATATAACACAATGGTGTGCACATTATCTCGTCTGTGTCGGTGTCCGCCAGATCTCGTATGGTCATCATGCTTGAAAGGTCTTGGGATGCCACACTGACTCTGTTGTGATATTTCGGCGTGGTTGTGATATCTATGAAGTCATTCTTAAGTTCGTCGGTAATTTCCCACAAAAATGTGCAGCTGTTTACGACTTCTTCATCTGTGCTAACGTTGCAATAGAGAGTAGCTGAATCACCCACTTCGTATTTCGTGTAGAGGGAACCTTGGCTTCTATGCACTACTGCAAATCCAAGTCCTTAAAATCAGAAAAAAAGAAGAATATTATTACAACTTATTAAGCAACCAGACACTGCTGTGCTGTGGAAAATACTCTAGCAGTGATGTTATAATAATAATAAAAATCATAATGGAATTAGTCCATGACATTTAGATTTTTATTATAATGCCTAACACAAATGTACTGTTTTTATTTAACTAGACAAGCATTTAGGTTTAAATATGAACGCGTCTTACCCAAAAAGTACACTAATACCAATGTTTCAAAAAGCATTTTTCTTTATCCGATAATATAGCTGACTGCAACTGTCTGGCTGCAGACTCAACGAGATATATCCAGCTGCAGAACCGCAGAACCACACAAGTTTTAGGCACACATTCTAGCACACACGATTTAGTCAAACCATATATGGTAACCAACAAACTCCTTAGCATTATCGCCACCTACTGAATTTCACAAATATGGTTTCCCATTTCAGTCATTATTATTATTTCTGCTTCTGAACTCAAATTATGTAAATAAAAATAATTGGTATGACTTTATTCGTGTCCACATACACAAAGAAAACATAATAGACAGTCTAATTGTAGGATTAAGTGTAATAAACTAATTTAGTTTTTCAATATTTTCATACTTTGTTAAAATAACTTTTTTGTAAAATATAAAAAGCAAACAATAATGTGTCACATTAAAATAAAAATTTCTATAGTTAATCATTTAAACAATATATGATATAGTTATAAATTTATTATCTTAACTGATTATCTGATTATAAACTACTATCTTTTAATGAACTTTCACAGCTGGTAGTTTTATATAATATATAAATATTATAATAATATATTAATAATAATAATAAAAATAATAATAAAAGCGTCTGCTAAATGACTAAATGTAAATGTAAATGTAATAAATATATATTTTTAATTAATTATTAATAGTTAATTTGTTTCTATTGCTAAATTTGGTTTAAAAATATATATTGCTTACTTTTAATTACTACAGTATTAAATGTGGGAAATCATTAACCAAAATGTTATGAAAAATAAAAATGTTATAAAAAAATTAAGCAAATACACACTAGGCCTATTTAATCGCTTGAGTAAAATATTAATATAGTGTTATACATTTTTTACATGTAAAAAGTTTTTTTTTTTTTTTTACATATAAAATTTATTATTGCCTATATTTAACTTGCTATTGTTTCCTTCATTATAAATGAATCCATTATATAAATTGAACCAGTTCAATTTAGATCGTTTAGCAAGGCCAGCAAACGAGTATCTGCTAAAATTACTCTCGCAGATAATAATGACTGAGAATCTATGATGACTGATAGAAAACTGTTCAGTCTAGTATATTTAATGGCGATCGGAAACAACGCTCCCCATTCGCCAGTCTCGATAGCAATAATTGTGAAATGAAGTAAACACTATTGTTTATTTTGTACAATATGTATTAACCATATATATATCAATATACATCGATGACGATGTCCAAGAAGACGTTAATAACATTAACATCCGTCGTAACCATATATGGTTTGCCTAGATTGTGTGTGTCAGATTGTGTGTGCCTAAAAAGTGCAAGTGGTGCTCGCTGCAGAGCCATTTGAGCAGAGCTGAGCTCCAGCGAGGGGGAGCATGAGCTCTCGCTCCTCCTCCTGTAAGCTGTTTTAATGCGTACGCCAACCCCACCCCTAACCCTACCCCCAGTGACATCACTCGTAGAAGAAGTGCAAAAAAGGTGGAGCTCAAGCTCAAGCTCCCTCTCGCTGGAGCTCAGCTCACCGGGCCTGCAGCTGGATATTATTGGGACAGATGACGTCACGCAACTATTTGCATATAAATGACGTCATCACGTAGTATCTGACAAGCGTAAAAGCATGTCTCAGAGGCGCTATGTATTATATTATATAATATTAAAACATAACATCCAGATCGTCATTGATCCAGTTGCACAATAAATAGTCTATGCAATAAATATGTTCTATAACATATTACTTTGCAAGATTAAGTCATTGTGTAATCGCAACTCAAAACTACATCTTTAGGTAGTAGGCTATACAAAAAAAAAAAAAAAAGTTTTCTCAAATTGACTGGCCATCTCAGCAAAAACATTATTTGAAATATGTCCATTTAGACTTTATTAAAAAAGCAGAGTTGACTTATTGTAAAAGTAATACAAACACTTTTTGATAAAGTTTTTTTTATTTGAATAACTGAACAGATTACATTCTTTTAAACGATCACAGCTTGTGTGCTTACTCTTTTTGACTTGTGAAATTAACACATTTGTAAAAGTGATAACAATTATAGCACTATTGGAATTTATTGCTACCTAAATGACCAACAGTTAACAAATATCAGTAAATAAACAGGTATGAAAAACAATCTGAGCTAGCTTACTCTACTGAGTGAAGCCTGCAGCCACTCCTCTTTTAAATCACTTTTTAAAAAATGCTAAAAGCAGCCAAATTAATGTAAAAAAAAAAAAAAATGCTACATTTGTTGCTAGGTGCTTTTTGAAAAAACGTTGTATGAAAAGTTGCTAAATCTAGCCTGCATTCTCAGACTCTCTCTCTCTCTCTCTCTCTCTCTCTCTCTCTCTCTTCTGCTTCATCCCACTCCATTTACGACCATGTTAAAATGTATTTTTGGTAATGACATTTTATGTATGTTATTTTGTTAGAAAATAAATAAATCAAATAAAATCTTATACAATATAGTACCATATTGTTTAATTTCTTTTGTTTAATTTGGCCAAGCTTTAGCCTATTTTTTTACATTTCATGAATATAATATTTAAGTAAAATTACTTAGAGTACCACAATTTCTTAGAAATTAAATATTAAAAACATCAATCTAAAATTATCTTGAAAATTTCAACTGTTCAAATAACTCACATAGTAAATTTAATTGGAATTTAACAATAAAAATGATATTACCATTTTATTTTAAATACATTGAAAATTGAACAATTCAAGACCCCTAAAGACTTTGCTCTTATTTAAAATATATTTTCTTAAATAGTGAGCATTTTTGTCATCCAAATCTCATCCAGTTGCTTTACAACATTTCTCAGTTTCGATTGACATTAATGTAATATGTATAGATCTTCTAGTATGTATGTATGTAGATCTCTTCTGCCTTTGATAGTAACAAATGGCTGAATAAGGACAGATCTTAAGATTGATAATTTTCTCAATGGTAGACTTAAAAGTGTATTCATGATTTATTGAACCAAGGTATGTGACAGTGTCTTTAATTGGTCTTTAAGATTGAATAAAATATATTTACTTATTCATCTTTAATCTGTGACCTCTGGGAATACACCCTGAGACACTCACATCTTTACTATTTTTAACAATTAAAAGTAGTGTCATCAGCTAATTCTGTAAGTTTGATCTTCCTAATACAAATACTGAAATTCCATGAAAATGAACTTTTTTTACTTTTTAGAATAAATTACTTGCAAATAATAAAAAAGGAATGATGAAATAAGACATCCTTACCCTACGCCTAATTTTAAGTCTTAGACAAGTCCCAAGAGATAATTGATCTGAGCTTTTACAACCATTGTAAAGAGTTTGAATTGCTTTTTAAAAATTACCCAATTTAGCTTATAAATTCACGAACATGGGGAGAACATGCAAACTCCACACAAAAATGCCAACTGACCCAGCCGTGGCTCGAACCAGCAACCTTCTTGTTATGAGGCGATTGTTTTACCCACTGTGCCAACTTGCAGCCCACACCAAAACAAACAGCAAATAAATAAGATACTTTGCCTGTCAGACTAACACACATGGCAGAATTCTGATGAAGGGTAATTTTGAAGCACTGCTTTTTGAATCTTGAGTCTTTGTTATTCTTTAGTTTTGAATCAGTGGCTATCAGTATTTACTACACAGCTGTTTGGAATACTTGATTCTGATTGGTCAGTCGCAATAATCTTGTTATCCTATATCCTATGTTATTCTGATAATAATCGCTAATAAATACAATAAAAAACTTTAAAAAACTTAATAAACTATAATGACTCAGAACAATGTTTTTTATCTAATTTATGTTTTGTGGCAAGTAACATCCAGGATGGTTATTTTCGCACAATAAATCTCCTCAGTCTTATACAACAGATGCAAAAGCCTGTCGGGCTATATTTTGCAATAACAACCTCCTGGATGTAGACTACTTTATCCCTAACCTAACTATGAGTTGTGTAACCTTACAGTTAGAATCCTATAACGTAACCAAATGTGGACCCAGTTTCAGTATGATTTTTCTGATCTGATATTTTACAATGAACCTTACAAACACATTTCTGTCATAATGGGAAAAAGTATAATTACCTGGTTTGAGGTTTTGTGAGAGGGGTCTGGATGCAGACCTGGGGCAGTGCAATCTGAGCTGCATCCAATGCTTTTTAATGAGCTCACCTAACTCCACCCTCTAACCCTACCCGTCACTGTGACGTCACTCACTTCATTGAGTGCATTGTGTCTGACATTGCATCGCTGAGTGATGCAATCTCAGCTTGCATCATAAACGCTGCGTCCAGATATTATTGGGTTTTGTTGCATTTACACTGTTTTTACCAGTGAGTAATGTTTTTAATGGTTTGAAAGTTATTTGCATAGCAATTTGTTGAGTTAAGCTAATGCAAATTTTAATTGTTTTACAATATAATTCTAATTATAAACTTCTTTTTCAGTTCACAATGAGAATCCTGTGTCTTCTGGCCTTTCTATGCCTACCATCATTTATTCTTTGTGGTAAGCTTAATGTGGTATCTTATACTTGATTATTACATCTGTAATGCCTAACTTCTGAAAGGTCTGTAATATTATTAAGTGGCTTATATGCAGTCACTCATTCAGATATTTGCTTCCTGGCAAACCATGCCAACTGACTGCTATACACATAGTTTCTTGTAAAGAGCTGTTACTCTAAAAGAGAAAAACGGTTGGCTTGTGTGTTTGTCAAGATGCTGGTCCTTCCATGTGTTTCTAGAAGCAGTCCTTTCCTGTTTTGTATGAGATCTGCTCAGATTTCTGGGCATCCACATCTGGAGGCAGAGCTCATACATACATGAGCACACATCATTCGATTCTAGTTGTCAGCCTAATTGAAAAAGCAGCCATTGTGCTTTTTGGGAATCAGGGGATCAAATGTTTTTCTTCTGATGGAATACTTTGGTCCCTTGCAAAAAAAAAAAAAAAAAAAAAAAACAGCAGTGGTATTGCCCTCAACTCTTGAGCAAAAAATGATAAATTTTTGTCTGAATGCCAGACCTTGCACTAATGCACGGTTATTTTAATTGCAAAGCCAAGGCATTAAAAGTGTAAAAGGACAGTCCCCTACCCAGGTTAATGTGTAATCTGTGCACATCAATGACTTTGCCTTACTAGTCATAAATGTTGCTGTGCGCACCCTGGGTAGGACCATGCCCACATTAGTCATTTAGGAACCCCACCTCTGCTGAACCTGGTATAGATGAATGTGCTGTCATAGCAGTAGCCATGTTGAGCACTCTGCTGGCAGGCAACATCATGTCTCATGCCAGAAAAGTGGCTTTCCTACACCCCAACCCCCCTACAAAATCCAGTAGGCCAGGCAAGCATCACATTGCACCCAAACATGACAGTTTATGCAAGCCTTACACAAAAGAGCAAGCAGCATCAGCAAGGGTCCAACCCACCAGGACACAGACTGTTTGTGCTTCTTCCATTGGGAAAAATATACAGGACAATAAGGACATGGGTGGCACAGTGGCTCAGTGGTTAGCACTGTCGCTTCACAGCAAGAAGGTCGCTGGTTTGAGCCCCAGCCCTGCCAGTTGGCTTTTCTGTGTGGAGTTTGCATGTTCAGCCTGCCTGGGTTTCCTCCCGGTGCTTCAGGTCACAGTCCAAAAACATGCAGTATAAGTGAATTGAATAAACTAAATTGGCCGTAGTGTATGAGTGTGTGTGTGTGTGTGTGTGAGAGAGAGAGTGAGAGAGAGAGAGAGAGAGAGAGAGAGAGAGAGAATATAAGAGTGTATGGGTGTTTCCCAGCAGTGGGCTGCAGCTGGACAGGCATCTGCTGTGTAAAACACATGCCAGAATAGTTGGGGGTTCATTCTGCTGTGGCAACCCCTGATAAATAAGGGACTAGGCCAAAGGAAAATGAATGAATCAGGAAATGCACAAACAGGCTGAGGAACAGCTTTTTTTTCTCTTGTCTTCCTCTGTCGTCATACCTTCTTTTATCCCTCCACTCCTTTTGTGAGACTCGAGACTGGTGTGTAAACAGGTGATGCTTGTTAACACTCAAGCCACTCACCTCGCTTCATTCCCATGGCTCTCAACCACGCCCCCCTTGTGATATTAATAATAACAAACTCAGCTGTTGCCCTCTTACCCATGCTGCTGCTAATGCACCAAACCCTTTACAGCACTAAACACTTTAAACCACGATTGGGTTATTATATGTATTACAGTTAGGTGCACTTCTCTTTTGTTTAGCTTTTCATTTATTTTTCTCTTTGTTTGTGTATGTTTTATTGCTGCTGGTCTCTAAGAGCTGCCAAACAAATGTCAGTGTATTATTATTACAATAACAATACATTTTTTTATGATCCTTACTATTCTGAACTACTCCTTTTAAACAATGCCATTTAAAATTGTTAGAAACATATCCTCAGATCTGTCTGTCCTTGGGATTGCATAGTGCATGGATTAGCAAAGCTCTGGCTCCTTGGAGCAGTACAAAGTCTTCATGAATATCTGAGAGGATGCCTTTTAGAAGGCAGGCATCCATATTCTCAATTGTTTCTATGTCTCACTCATTGTGGCACAGGCACAAAAGCAATTAGTAGATCACAGTGACATGGCGTTCCATCACCTCAGCTAGTTGGAGAGCAGAGCAAGCTCATGCAGAGCATCTCTTTTCTTGGGTTGGGGACTTTAAAGCATTTTCAGTCCGGCTAATTCTCACATTTTCCTGAGATCCCAGCCTGGCAATGTTCCTAAGACACTTGCCACTTCTTTTAGAGATAATGATCATTGTGACAAATTCATAACTAGTTTAGTCGTAGCTACATAAATTCATTATATGAAATCAATTTCAGTATCATATATTTTGTTAAGATATAAAACAAAAAGCTAGTAGTATATATATTGCTTTATCATGTAATTTTGTAAGCATTTTATGTTCTTTCTAGGTTTTAGGAATATGACCATCTACTGTCCTCTGGATGAAACTGAAAATGGAAATCAACCTAGTAAATGGAATATCAGCCTGGCAAAATGTGATAGTAAGTAATGTGACTTTAACCAGTGTTAAGTTCCCATCATATTGTTCCTCTCCAGAGTTCCCAGTATAGTTGTGTGGTTTTTTGAATACTAATGAGCTCCACTATGACATGCAGCTCTCACAGACACACACACACACACACACACACACACACACACACACACACACACACACACACACACACACACACACACACACACACTCAGCATGATGTAAACACTAATTTGTCAAATAACCTAACTGTTAAATTAAGTAGATGCCTAAACAAATATTTTTCACTTAATGCGTTGATGTTTATTTTATTTTATTCTGTTGTGGATAAAGGCTATTGTAATCAAACATGACAAAGAGACCATTATGGATGTATTGTGTAGAATCTGTCAAAGAAAACACAGCCAGTAAATGATATCAGCTTCTGTATACTGTAAACAGATGATGTTTAATAAAGTGTTTTTCTTTCACTTCAGAAAAATTACAGTAAGAGTTGAGTGATATGACACTTTTTAGCAGTCTAAACAAACACAGCAAATTTCCCAATAAAGACAATAAATAGACTAAATATTAATTAAACATTTACCTTATGTCTCTTTTGGGTGTAGATAAATAAATGTAGAATGAACAATACGATTTAACATTTTGTTTTTGTGTAGATCCATTGTTGAGCTTTGATCTAAATCAGTGATTCTCAATCTGTGTTACTTCCTTCTAGTGGTATGCGGAGGAATCAAATGTCATATGTACTAGCTACATATATTTCAAAATGTATAAAAAATGATTTATATATGAATATGACATATATTTTTTATTTGACATATAGCCTATATTTCTAAGATCCTGGCGACATTTCCAGGTGTTGATGAATTGGATACTATATGTTAATACTTTACATTTAAGTACAGCACTTTTCTTTTTACTTTTTAAGAACAGTAACCTACCATTTTTAACTTTTAAAAGCACATTCTAATTTAAATGTTGACGTTTTTAGTTAGTTTGTTTGTTTATATATAAGCACAGTACAGTGTTAACCTTCAGACTATTTATAATGTTTAAAGTGGCTGACAATAACAAATATTATTAATTATAGGAGTTAATCTGCCACATTTTGAACTATTGAGAGCTGTAGCTGTTTTTCTGTGCTTACTACACTACTGTATTTCAATACTTCTCATTATGGTGGTACTTGGGGAGACCATTTTTTTCTGAGGTGGTACTTGATGAAAAAAGTTTGAGAACCACTGGTATAAATCATATCACACCAAATGTGATAAGCTGAGATATATTGTCATATTAATAAGGTCACACATAGTTTGGACTGAGTCACACTATACATGACAATTTTGATGTTTAGATAAAAAAAAAGTAGCCAGAGCTCTGTATACGTCATGTAAAGCTGTGATATGCTTTAATAATATATTTTCAGAATAGCCACATAAAGGCATTTTTTTTAACAAATGTCCGTTTTTATTAGTATATGGCACCATGGAAAAATGTAAAAATGCTGGTCACGTCATCCACCCATATATTCATTCATTAATTTTCTTTTCGGCTTAGTCCCTTAATTAATCTGGGGTTGCCACTGCGGACTGAACCGCCAACTTATCCAGTATATGTTTTGCGCAGCGGATACCCTTCCAGCTGCAACCCATCACTGGGAAACATCCATACACATTCATTCACACACATACACTACGGACAATTTAGTCTACCCAATTCACCTGTACCGCATGTCTTTGGACTGTGGGGAAAACTGGAGCACCCAGAGAAAACCCACACCAACACGGGAAGACTACGCAAACTCCACACAGAAATTCCAACTGACCCCGCCAAGGCTCAAACCAGCAACCTTCTTGCTGTGAGGCGACAGCACTACCCACTGTGCCACCCCAACCATATATTAATATACAGGGTGAGCCATTTATATGCATACACCTTGATAAAATGGGAATGGTTGGTGATATTAACATCCTGTTTGTGGCACATTAGTATATGTGAGGGCTTGTAAATATGGGAATGGTTGGTGATATTAACGTCCTGTTTGTGGCACATTAGTATATGTGAGGGCTTGTAAATATGGGAATGGTTGGTGATATTAACGTCCTGTTTGTGGCACATTAGTATATGTGAGGGCTTGTAAATATGGGAATGGTTGGTGATATTAACGTCCTGTTTGTGGCACATTAGTATATGTGAGGGCTTGTAAATATGGGAATGGTTGGTGATATTAACGTCCTGTTTGTGGCACATTAGTATATGTGAGGGCTTGTAAATAACTCATGAAAAAATAAAGGTACGTTAAAACTAAGCACAGCATTGTTTTTTTTTGTGTTTTTTTTGTGAAATTCCCATTAAGTTCTTTTAAGGTGTATACATATAATGGCCCACCCTGTATAAACATGTAATTATATATAAATATGACTGGATCACCATGTCATGTACAGTGAGGACCAAACAACATTTCCAGGTTCTTTGAGAACCAGACCAAAAAGTTATGCGCACTTCCAATGCTATCTTACGGCCATTCGTAACTTTTTAATTTAGCGGCTAACTAGTATGAATTCCTAAGAACGATCTTATTCATGCAAGTTTAGTATGATTTGGTCATCCCCAATAACGTTTGGGTTTAGGGGTGGGGTTTGGTGCCACGCCTTCTTTTCAAAAATCGTACATTTTTCTGCGACTGAATTTTTACAAATTTATACGAGTTAGCCACTAAAAAGACAAAACATAAAATAGTTGCATTTCCTCTTGAGATCAGGCTGGCACTTTGTCTATAGTGCATTGTTTTTAAACAACGCTGCAACAATTTCATTTACTGCATGTTTTAACAGCTCAGCTGGAATGCTTGACAAAAAAAATGGTTCTACGATGTTTCAGCTGACAGCAAACTGATTATTGATAAAAAAAACTTTTGGAAAAAACGTTGTAGTATTGATTTATTGTTGGTATTTTGATATTTATTTAGGTATTATATAAAAATTAAAATTTTGGTATTGTGACCAAAATCATTAAGGGTCTCAGGGATAATGCAGATAGAGTACAGAGAAATAACATCTCATCTCATCTCAGCTTGTCAGAATGCTAAATACAGAAAAGACTGATTATAATTTATTAAGTGCCCTTCGAAGAGACATAAGGTTTGTTTGAATGTATTTTTTGTTAGTTTAACATGTTATGAAATTTGCATGCATTAGTTATGAAGCAAAATTATTGAATCAGTGTTTAATGCATGTTTATGCATTGACTCTTAACATTCAGCTATTATAGTGATTTTAACTAATTAAACACACATGATCCATCTAGCTACATAATTTAGACTTATTTGAAAAGTAATAATTTAACATCCTCCTTTTAGGTGGAAGCACATGCTGCCTATCTAACAAACATCTAGATCTACAGAGACACCCAATAACGACTGTCATTTATAAAACTGCCCACACATCAAAGACAAAACTGCCAACTTCTTTTAATCACCCAGCATTTATTTGGCTATAGTATAAAACAACCAGCTGGAGATAAATGGTTCCTTATTTTAGTTCTGTAAATTAACTTTTGCCTGCATCCAAGTAATAATGATATATTAATATTCTATTAAAAAAAATAAAAAAAAAAAGATTAAAAAAAAATTATTTTTTACTTTATGATTACACATGTAACCTGCTTCATGCTGTTATATAGGCCTGAAATAAAATGGGAGGTAATTATTTAGTAATGTCTTATTCAACTTTCTACTTCCTTAATAGCATAAAAATGATTTTTCATGATTCAAAAATCAGATAATTCCTAAGCCACTATAAATACCCTATTCAAGAGTTCACACTTAGCTGATGATTTATAAAAGCTTGTTTGGCATGCTGTCCCGGGAGAGAGCCCCGAGCTCAAGGACTCCTCGAGTCCGGGGCTTCCTCCCATTTGGCAGAGCGGGAGAGGAGCCCGAGCTTGGTGGATCTCAGAACTCCCCCGCTGCTGTAGCTAAGGGAACACAAGGGTTAGATAAATGCTTGTTTTTTTTTTTTTTTTATGTATATTGAATGTCTTTGGATGGTAGGAGGATACCGGAGAACCCGGGGAAAACCCACGCGGACACGGGGAAAACATACAAACTCCTCACAGAAACATCCGCGGGTCCTAGGGGGCCAGGGCCGGCGGTGTTCTTGCTGTGGGGCTCGCAGTGCTAACTACTGGGCCACCGTGTCGCCCAGTCAGAGGTAAAGGAGGAGGAAAAAGGGGAGGAGGGGGGTTTCTTCCAAACAAAGATAAAGTGAATTGAAAACTGTGGTTATTTATAGTGGCTTAGGTCTCGAATGATTGGAAGATACTGATTAACAAATTCGAGACCAGCCGTGATAAATCATAAGCACGTGATCCTCCCGAAATTAGTTTATGAATAAACTTCACTAAGTTCCATATGACAGCTATCTTTGTTTTGAAGCACCCCCCTTCACCCCTACTCCTCCTCCTTTCCTAAATGGGTGGCACGGTGGCCCAGTGGTTAGCTCTGTTGCCTTACAGCAAGAACGTCACTGGTTTTAGTCTTTACCAAGCCAACCAACATTTCTGTGCGAAGTTAACATTTTCTCCCCGTGGTCACGTGGGGTTCCCCGGTTTCCTCCCACCGTCCAAAAACATGCAACTTAAGTTAATTGACTAATCCAAATCGGCACCATAGACATGCTCCTAGTAAGTAGTTATCTCTCAAGAGCAATCACTATCTGTTCATTAGCTACTAGAGCAGGAGAGTTCTCGAGATCTACCTGAGCTCAAACTCCCCTTTCAATTGGCAAACAGGAGGGAGCCCTAGGTTCGAGGATCTTATGAGCTCAGGGTTCTCTCCCGGGGCAGCATGCCAAACAAGCTTTATAATCAATCATCAAGTGTGAACTCTTGAATAGTAGTTGTTCACTGCTTTTCATTTACATGTTTAGTAGAGCCTTCCATAAAACAAATAAAACAAGCCCTGAAAACTGACAAAAGAATGCATATTATTCTGAAATGAAATTATAACATATATTAGATGTGATACTGTAGATAATACATTTAATAAAATCTTTGCAATTGGTTTGTAAAATTTTTTTTTTTTAATTATTGTTTTATGTTTTTATGAATTCTTGGCCCAAATGTTTGGCATATATATATATATATATATATATATATATATATATATATATATATATATATATATATATATATAGTAATGGCCTATAATTTTGTTTTTCAGCTTTACAAATAACGTGCACGGATCGAAATAATCAAAAAATCTGCAAATCACTGGAGGAATGTGGTCGTAATCAGCTGATAGAGGGTTTTATAGACAAACTGCTTGGTTATATCAACTGTGAGAGAAAAGAAAGTAAGAAAGATATAACATTTGAATGTGATTCCATTTATTTTGAGACATTTAGCAGATTTTTTTATGACATTGTATTTATTTATAATATATCTTATTTTATTTACATTTTTAGAAGGAATAAAATGTGATCTTCATATAGCTTGTAATCATACAATATACCTTGAACTTGATCATCTTCTGACTGACGATAAGAAAACAGGAAATTGCAAATTCCGCCATAATGGTGAGATTCCTCTATGCAATACAAACATACACAAAAATATTAAGTGGCATAGTGCTCCCACTTTATATTAAGTGTCTTTAAATATTATATATGTACTTAAATAAGTAACTGTTAAGTAAAAGGTATTAATAACTTAATTACTCGTATTATATACATATGTTTAAAATTAGGAACAGCTGTGCATACACTGTATCAAAAGATTTATTTTTTTTTAAAATAATTGTCACATAGCAGTTAAAGCCACTTTCACGTTCACAAATCTACCTGGTTCTCGAATTTGAAAGCTGTGCAATATTCTAGTATTAGCACTGTTCAAGTCTCTTCTCCCTTGTGCATCAATCCCTGCACAGTAAGTGTCAAGTAGAGGTTTAGGGCCCTATCATACACCCGGCGCAGTGTGGCGCAAGACGCGGCACAGTAGTTTTTTGGTAGTTTCAGCTTGACGCAAGAGTCGTTTTGAGGCGTTGTGCTACGCTGTTTAAATAGCAAATGCATTAGCGCTCATTTTTGCGCTCATAGGCGTTCTGGTCTAAAAAGGGAGGTGTTCTGAGGTGCACTGCTGGCATGTCGCTATTTTGAGAAACTATAATAGATTTTTCATTAGACCAAAACAAACCCGGTCTAAACTCTGACGCAGAGTTGCGCCTCGCTTACGCACTGCTTAATGCGCACAAGAGAGCAATAGGCAAATATCTTTACATATGAAAAAATTTAAATATTAAGGATATATATAGGATATAATAAGAATACATATAGGATATAAATATAAAGGATTAAAATATTACAAAACATATTATTTTCTAGCCTACATAAATATGAAAAACCACTGCTTTTATTTCTTCTTCATCTCAGTAGGCTTTTTCAGTTCATTCATAACAATTTGCTTTTGTATAATGTTATTATTATTAGCACTATTATTTAATATATCCATTTTTATATTTGTTTTATTAAAAACAAGCTTAGATTTGCCCACCTGTCAGGTTTTAGACCATATGGGGCATGGCAGGTGTATTTGGAAATAACTCAGTATTTTGACCACACTTGGTCATTATTGTTCATTTATTTGTTTGCTAGAAATTAGAACTGAATTTAGAAATAGTTTTGAAACAAATCTTTGCACTTAACAAACGCAATTAATTATTTATAGGCTAATTGATGTCTGTGCGTAATTGTTTCCCTATCCAAGAGCGAATGTGAAAGTAGTTCCATTATCTCTCATTCTTGAGCGATAGATGCTCCGTTTAACAGTTTTCTGTTAAAAAACTGTCAACTGTTAGCTTGTGAAATGCTCATTTTTTCCCACTTAGTCTTACTTTGCGCCCTGTATATAGCGAATGTGCTTTTGGTTCTAATTGGTTTATTCTCAAAACACACCTATAACTCATTAAGAAAATAAACTCAACCCTTTTAGTCCATGCGCAAAGCGGATTTTCCGTCCGTAAATTAGCAAAAATGCGTTCTGACACGCCCTGAAAGCGTTTGCGCCCTGTGTTTTGCGCTCTGCGCATGGACCGTCAAAATAGAGCCCTTAAACTCACTATAGTTTGACAAATATGGCTGCTGTTGAGCAACATAACGTACTGTTGAGATTTCAAAGTTGATTATTTATAAGGATAGTGCTTATTTAAAAAAAGTATTTTGATGATTTTGAAAATGGGACTTCCAGCACATGAGACCTTCTGACATTTACATCTTCCTCAAGTTTCATGGATGCAAATAGATTTGACTGCAATGTTAAGTAATATTTTGCTACATGGATTCTCCACCAATAAAAATGTAGCAAATTATAATGTTGTAGATTAAATTTGCATGCCTATCTACATTAATAATCTGTAACAAATTATAATTTAGATTAAAGTGCTTGCATAGCTACACCATTATTACTGTAATAAATTAGCTCAAGGTTATTCTTCCCACGCTTTTTCCACCGTTATAATTTTGCGAGTTATGATTTAGATTACAGTGCTCGCGTATCTTCTACACCATTATATATATAACGGATTAGCTTAACGGGAGGAAGATTCATTTGAACAGGGCTTCAAATGAATCGACTCTTTAGATCCGAACAAACGAATCGTCCAGCGATGGTATCAAAACAAAAACCCATTAAGTTTGAGCAGGGTAACAAGATCAAAGTTTAAGACACTAGATTCATAAATATACACAGTCACCTGTCTTTATACAAAATAAACTTTATTGACTAATCTAACAAAAACTAACACCTAACACAAGCACACATTCATACAAGTGTAGAGAAGAGTAAAGTAGGTAAAGTAAGTGGTTGAGAGAATGTAATGATGGAAAAACCTCTGAGTTTGTAAGAGCAAACCAAGCGAACCAAACATTATCAAATTCAATATGACCCTTCTAGGGTCTTTTAGAGTTGCATTTAGTCTACATCAGTTGAGATGGAAGTGTATTTGCGTGTGTCCATGTGATGTAAGTGTGGCAGGAGGGAATATGAGGGGGGGGGGGGGGGGAAGAGTAGGGATTGACAATCTATCCACAAAGCAAATCCGACTACGCCACCTGAGAGGTTTTCTCCCAGGAAATAGAAATTGGCTTAAACCTTACTCTTAGGCCACACAGGTTCAGTTCTCATATGGATAGGCAAGAGACGTGGGTATAGTATAAAAGTACAAAATTTATTTTCAGAATTTGTGGCAGATTAAAATAGTCACATAACATTCTCTGAACATTTTGCCAGCACCTCCCTCCACACAACTGCAGTAAAATAAAATAAAAAAAAAGAAAACAAATTTATAGAAGACAACAACGTTATTACAAAGTAAATATGAAAATGAAATTAACCGGGGAAATAAATTGAATAAACTAACTTACAGGGCTGAGGTCACACATGGGGGGGAATCACCAGTGCTCCGTTGTGTTCAAAAAGCACACTTCCACACACACACACACACACACACACACACACACACACACACACACACACACACACACCACACACCACACACCACACTAGATCCACACACTCCACACTTCCCAAACCGTCCACAGCAAAAATGTCAAGTGCAGTGACACCACCACCACCTCAAGATCCTGCACCCCTGGGACCTCAGTTCCTGCAAGGAAAATCAAAATCAATATACGAGATAAATTATACAAGAGTAAAACAAACAACAAACCAAACACAAGAAAAGAAAAACCAAATACAGCTTCTGTAGTTTCGCTATAGAAAAGCAAGATTCACACAGAACACAACTCACTCTTTTGCACACCGAATCACACAACCAAACAGAACAAAAATCACAAATTATATAACAGTAGCAATAGGAGATAGTAGTAGCAGGTCGTAGTAACAACAGCAGTAAATAGAGCAGGTAACAGTTAGTCGTAGCAGTTAGCAGTAACTGCAACAGTAAAGTAGCAGCAAGCAGATAGTAGTAGCGGATAGCAGTAGCAGCTAGTAGTAACTGCAACAGTAAATGTAGCAGCAGCAGATAGTAGTAGCGGGTAGCAGTAGCAGCTAGTAGTAACTGCAGCAGTGAATGTAGCATCAGCAGATAGTAGTAGCGGGTAGCAGTAGCAGCTAGTAGTAACTGCAGCAGTAAATGTAGCAGCAGCAGATAGTAGAAGCAGGCAGCAGTAGTAAACAACAGGAGTAGTTCTTTCCACTAGAGATCTCAGGATAGCAGAATCTTTCAAACACAACCGGGGTAATGTTACAGATGCTAGATCTTTATTTATAATCGCCCAGGACAGAGAGGGAGAATCCTACAAGAGATATGCACATGCAAAACGGTTACTGTTTGCAAAATCACACGCTAGCATTCCCCTTTAATCTCTACATAAGAAACTTACCAAGCCGGGAGTAGTACACTCATGTATTACGAATTAGTCATCTCCATTTATGCTACAAGCGAGCTGAATGGGTGGCAGTCATTAACTCCATGGCAACCGACAGGAAAACCAACGAAAAACCAGGCTAAAAATGAAACCACGATGATTAATCCAAACGTTAATCGAAAGAGAGAGAGAGAGAGAGAGAGAGAGAGAGAGAGAGAGAGACACACACACACAACCGCTAACATACCTGAAACAGATGTCAACAAACGCGGAACAAGAAAGGCGGGGCTGGAGGTGACACATCACCTAACACAGCCAACCGGCTCTAAAATAGGCAGCACTGGCCCCTGATTGGTTGTTATCAACATCAATCACTACCACTTATCCTATACACGGTCACATAAGGAAGCTCCCTTGGTTGAGCACGTGGTTCTGCTGGTTGTTCCTTGTTCTTGCCAGGATTGGAGTGGGCTGAGTCTGTGTTTGAAGTTGAAGCGGCCAAAGGGGCCAGTTGTGCTGACCACTGATTTGCGACGCACTAACTTAACTAGACTCTCAATGGAAAATAAAGGAAAGATGGTATCTGAGATGTGAAATGTCCGAGCTGTGCGATTAACCCTTTCCGTTTGGGTCTCCGCCTGTTTTCTTGGAGGTTTCTCTGCTTAGGTCTCGTTTTTAGGCCGTTGTAGAGCGCCCTAGTTAAAGAAGGTTGGTTTCAGAGGGCATGGTTCCAGAGAGTTGCGGTTAAAAGAGAGAGTATGGTTCAAGAGAAAGTTTTTTTTCTAGAGCGCTGCCAGTTAAGAGAGAGAGAGGGAATTGCTTTGAACAAGCTTTATGGGGTGGGTTCGGATTCACCCTCCATTGAAAGTTAATCAGTTAGAAACTAACTTCTCTGCCTCATGGTTTATGACTCTTTGTCCGAGGCAGATGAATTTGCATAGGCAAATTTGATGGAAACTGAGGCAGAAATGTTCAAGTCTCTTAAAATGTTAATATGTTGCATTCGTATTAAGATAAAATGTCAACGATCAATTAGTACAGCAAGTTAGCTTTAGAACGCATCTAAACATGAACCGTTTATGAGTTCTTTTAGCTTCGATAGAGTTAAACATTGTATACAGAAGTATTAAAACCAATAATATTAATACAGGAACAAGGGAAACGTTGCAAAACACATGATTACACATAAAGAGAGAGTAAAGTTTACATTTAAACATCAGTCTTAGGCCCCGTTTACACTAATGCGTTTTAGTTTGAAAACGCATAAGTTTTGCTACGGTTACGCCATCCGTCCACACTACGCCGGAGTTCTCGAGCGCCGAAAACGGAGCGTTTCGAAAACGCTGGAGAGGCCGTTTTCATTCTAAAACGCTGCAGCTCCGTCTCAGTGTGGATGGGGAAAGACGGAGACATCTGAAAACGGAGGCGGGGCTGCAGACATTCGCCTCTCTGATTGGGGCTTTTCCTCAATATTAAGTAGCCCACACACAGTTCCGTCCTGAATCTTCTCCGTGTAAGTTCAGACTTCGCAAGTTTGATCAAGGCTGCATCTCTTCTTCTCAGTTTGATATGGAAAACATACCGAGGACACGCGTCAATCTTCACAGGGAAAAGTGTAACGTTACTTTATAACTTCATTCACATCACCTTGGCTACGTTGTTTCACTTTCTCAACAATAAAATGTAAACTTGATATAAGGAACTGCCTATTTTTATTTTAATATTAACAACTAAACAGACAGCAGAAATGTTGAGGCGTCGTGCTGCATGAGCGTCATCTTCACTGTGCATATTTATAACAAAACGGAGCCGATAACAACTGCCTCCTTTCAATTTCAGTGAAAATACGAAACATACCCTCTCTTTTGCTGAATATCAGTTTTAATAATCGATAATGGCCATTATAAAAGTATAACATACAATAAGTTTATACATTATAGGAAATAAAGGCAAGCGATCAGTCAATATACAGAATGTAGGCTACGTGCTTACATTAATCATTAACTTATCTTTGCGCTCAGCCAAAACACGTTACCTGAGAACAAGTAATAGATTCCAATGACCAAAGTCAGGGAATATGTCGTTAGATAAAGACAATAAGATGAATGAAATATCACGTTTAATAAATATAGTGAGATTAGATCCAGCGGGAGATGCTTGATGAGAAGTCCGACTAGCACAGCTCTCATCTGGGTAGATGGGCTCCAGCGATTGCCAAAGTGTGTGTGTGTGGTCACGTGATGTGCGTTTTCAGCGTTTTGGTGTGGACGGAGAGCAGTTCAGAAACGCTGGGTAAAACGCGAGTGTGGACGCGGATCGTTTTCATTCTAAAACGCCGTTTTAAAACTAAAACGCACTAATGTAAACGGGGCCTTAAACAATTAGCTTAAAGAAGTCCTGTTCAATTCAGTTGTGCTGTGCTGTGGGTACATTCCTTAGGGCTATAAATTCCTTAGAATCGGATTACAACTGACCATTGAGTCTTCCTTGGGCAAAAGTTGGCTCATTTGTTGAATAAAAAGCACAATAATTATGTGTCTGGTCAGTCATATTTGTTAAAGTTATATTTTGCCGTCAGAATTATTAGCCCGCCTGAATTATTAGCCCCCTGTATATTTTCCCCCAATTTCTCTTTAACGGAGAGATTTTTTCAACAAATTTCTAAACATGATAGTTTTAATAACTCATTTCTAATAACGGATTTATTTTATCTGATGACAGAAAATAATACTTTACTAGACATTTTTCAAGACACTTTTATACAGCTTAAAGTAACATTTAAATGCTTAATTAGGTAGGCAATTTAGGGTAATTAGGCAAGTTATTGTATAACAATGTTTTTTTCTGTAGACAGTCGAAAAAAATGCTTAAAGAGGCTAATAATTTAGACCGTAAAATGGTTAATTTGCTTGCTCTGTTAAACATCATTTGGGAAATATTTAAAAAAGAAAGAAAAATTCAAAACTTCAACCACACACACACACACACACACACACACACACACACACACACACACATATGAAAATTTGGTGTTTGTTCTTTTGATTGATGTACTCAGTATCTTTATATTATTATTTTTTTAACTGTTGTTGCAGGAGTAAAAACTTCAATTAAACTTGCAAACAAATTCACAGTTTTCACCTTGAAATGGTCCTTTCTGTGAATCGGGCAGATCTGTAATAAAAAAAAACTGGGACAGGGAGGCTAGTGTGTAAAAGCTGCAATATTTATAAACATATTTAGGCTATACTATGTACCCAGAGCAAATGCATGACTGTACTCTTTGTGTGTGACAAGCTTATTGTGACACTTTTATTCTCCCTAATCATTGTCCAAACCAGTCATGGGTTACGGCAACCATAAATAAACAGGACAGAGCAGACTGTAAAGAGATGATGGCATCTCTCGGATCAGAGGGATAAACCTAGATTTTATTTGCAAATGACAAAGTGTTTAGACAAAGACTGTAGGTTTAGAATAAGTTTGTCGCAGATTCATTAAAACTGAAGCATACTAAGTACACAAGTCTTGCTCTCCGTGTCTTGACAGATGTTACGGTGGCTGGGAAGTACAAAACAACATTACAAAGTGTGAAACACTTTTACAAAGCTCGAGACAAATTTACATTTTGAAAAACATTTTTACTTATCATCAGACACAATTACATAGGAAAAACAATTTTACCAAGGACGAAACAAATTTACATTTTAGAAAAAAAATTAACAAGACGCAAAACACTTTTACAAATCCCGAAACAAATTTACAATTACAGATTCCTTACGGAAAGGGAATTACCACACACCGGTGGTGACCCGGAATTTATTTATAGACATAATGTAATACTGACAGCTATAAAAATGATAATTTGTTTAAATGCAATGTAAATAGTGTAACCTCTTTTTGTCACTTGAAAATGCAACTTCCTTGCATTTTCAGATGATTAAAATAAGATTTACGCTCATAGCAGCTCCTAGTCAGACCTTTCTGAATGTTCAAATTTCTTACTACCACCTTTTGTACACCTCAAAGCTGCACATCCCCCGCCGTACTTTAGTGATGCTGAGTCAAAACAACACAATTGCTGGGTCATCTTTCGTAGGCATTTTTGGATCAACAGCAGGAGGAGGAAGGTGCTTTTTTCGAGCAGACTGTCTTCGGCATTTCAAGTGAACTAAAGGTTTGTATTTGTATTCATATTATTTCTCATCATCATATCATTTTAATATCTAATGGCAAAAGGTACTTTTCTGAATCTTAAATATCTTATATGATTAATCAAAGCATTTATAATCAATATAAAAGTTGATTTCACCAAATTGATAAAAATCAATATAATAAAAGGTTAGCCTAAACAGGCAGCCAACGCACAAGTGGCTTCAGGCAAGTTTTATTTTATTTTGTGACCCGCATGTATGTTATTATTTTATTATTGTCCAAGTCAAACAAATGAAGCTTTTTACTGTTGATGTTACATGATTTTAGTCCACAACATCTCTCGAATGAACTGTGTTTGAGCGGGGTTTATTTTGCCGGCACATGTCAAGTAAAGAGGTGGGTCAGAGCTTTGCATGGAGTTTGAGCCCTTAACACCATCCCAGCGCTGAACTGGTAATGTACCTTGTCTGGAACTAGTTGGTTAAGAAGCTGCAAATTTCTCGCTAAACTGCAACAGCTGTGACCATGCAACGGTCCCGATAAGCACACGTAAACATTTCTCTGCGACAAAAGAGAACAATTTGCAAAAGGCTACAGAGAGAGCCAATCGTCACCTCATCATACACTACTTAAAATAATGAACCATAAAGCTATGTTAAATTGTTCGTATATCACTACTGCTTTCTACAGAAACGATAAAAACAGAATAAATTACCCTTTTGAGTGTGATATGCTTGAACTATGAACAAATTACAAAGTGACATGAGGTAAAAACAATTGATTTCATTCAAGGAAATGTTTATTTATTTGTCTAGTTATTAAACCATTTTTAATCAATTCGTAGACTGTTTTATAAATAGACTGCAGCAATTTTCACAAGAAACTTAATCTGCATGCGTTGCTTTTGGTGGTTAAGTATAGTATAAGATAAAGTAACTATATATGAAAAAAACTTCTTTATAAAAAATTTTGTAAACTATTTGCTCTAACATGTTTTGCGTTTAAGCAACTCTTTTTGAATCCATTTTTTCTTTGTTCCACAATTTAATTCAGACCCACAATTAATGATGGCAAGGCCACAGCCTTTCGCTTAGGCAAGGCAAGGCAAGGCAAGTTTATTTATATTACAAGCACATTTCATACACAGTGGCAATTCAAAGTGCTTTACATAAACAGGAATAAAAAAGACAAGCTTAGGAACATAAAATGCAGACAATAAAAATGATTAAAAACAGAATAAAAACAAATTAAAATGAGTTATAAAAGAATGAAAAAGAAAACGAAAAACATAACAGTGCAGTCTGTTGGACGTAGCACAGTGCTCATTCAGTAAAGGCACAGCTAAACAGATGTGTTTTCAGTCTCGATTTGAATGTGTCTAATGTTGGATCACATCTGATCATTTCTGGAAGCTGATTCCAGCAGCGGGGGGCGTAGTGGCTGAAGGCAGATTCACCCTGCTTTGACTGAACTCTTGGAATTTCTAGTTTGTATGATCCTAAAGATTCTAGTGATCTGTTTGGTTAGTATTCAGTGAGCATATCTGTAATGTATTGAGGTCCTTGGCCATTTAGTGATTTATAGACCAGTAATAATACTTTAAAATCTATTCTGAATGTAACTGGGAGCCAGTGTAGAGACCTGAGGACAGGTGTGATGTGCTCTGATTTCCTGGTTCTAGTCAGAATCCTGGCCGCAGCGTTCTGGATGAGCTGTAACTGTCTGACTATCTTTTTGGGAAGGCCAGTGAGGAGGCCGTTACAGTAATCCACCCTGCTGCTGATAAAAGCATGAACAAGTTTTTCTAAGTCTTCCCTGGAAACAAAGCATCTGATTATTGCTATGTTTTTGAGATGATAGTATGCTGATTTACTGACTGCTTTGACATGACTGTTGAAACTCAGATCTGACTCCAGTCACACCAAGATTCTTGACTTTTTTTTTGTTGTTTGACCTTTAGTGCCAAGGTACGCATTTACCTTGAGAACCTCATCTCTGTTCCCAAACGCAATGACTTCAGTTTTCTCTTTGTTTAACTGAAAAAAGTTTTGGCACATCCAATTGTTAATTTTATCAATGCATTGGCAGAGGGTGTCAATGGGGCTGTAGTCATTAGGCAGTAAGGCTAGGTAGATCTGAGTGTCATCAGCATAGCTGTGGTAGAAAATTTGGTTCTTTCTCATTATTTGGCTCAAGGGGGACATGTAAAGGTTGAACAGGAGAGGTGCCAGGATTGAGCCAAGTGGGACTCTGCATGTCATGGGTGTCCACCTCGACCTATGGTCACCTATACTGACATGGTAACCTCTTCCTTCAAGGTAAGATCTGAACCATTTGAGGACTGTCCCAGACAGCCCAACCCAGTTTTCCAGCCTATCCAGAAGTATGCTGTGATCGACAGTGTCAAATGCAGCACTGAGATCGAGCAATACCAGCACTGTTATTTTACCTGAATCTGTATTTAGGCGTATATCATTGATTATCTTTATAAGAGCACTCTCTGTACTGTGATGTGCTCTGAACCCCGATTGAAAATTGTCTAAACACCCCCTGAAGCTTAAGAACTTGTTAACCTGGTTGAAAACAACTTTTTTAATGATTTTGCTAATGAAAGGGAGTTTTGAGATTGGCCTGTAATTGCTCAATAGGGTGTGATCCAGGTTGCTCTTCTTCAAGAAGGGTTTAACAACTGCAGTTTTAAGTGAGTTTGGAACAATCCCTGAGAGAAGTGAAGCATTTACCACCAGGTATTTATATACCAGAAGATCCATTTCTAAACAGGTAAACACAGATTTAAAGAATGATGTGGGGAGCGTGTCAACACTGCAGGCTGATGTTTTCATAGCTTGCACAATCTCTTCTAAGATTTTACCGTTAATTGCCATGAAATCAGAAAATGTCTGATTTCTTAAGTTGTAGTTGAGCTTGTTTGACATTGACACAACTTGGCTGATTGGATGAGCTGATTGCCTTTCTGGTATTATTGATCTTGTCAGTAAAGAAATGAGCAAACTCATTACATTTGCTTTCAGAGAGAAGATCACTGGGAATCCGACTGGGGGGGGTTTGTGAGTCTCTCTACTGTTGCAAAGAGTGTGCGAGCATTATTTACATTGTTGTTTATAAGGTTTGAAAAGAAAGTATGCCTAGCAGTTTTTAGTTCCACATTAAAAGCATGAAGACTGTCTTTATGGATATTATAATGGACTACTAGTTTCGTCTTTCTCCACTTTCGCTCAGCTTTTCTGCATTGTCTTTTCATCATTTGGACTGCTCTTGAGTTTCTCCAAGGGGCTCTCTCTTTGCCAGTTCTCGTCCTGAGTTTAACAGGAGCAATGTCATTTATGACTGTAATAAAGTTCACGGCCCTTTGGCCGCCGGGAAGAGGGAGGCGGAGAACCGACGCAGGTTTAAATTATTTATTAATAACAGTGATGGCAGCTCCTCACGGAGACTGCCATCTAAACCAAAACAAACGGCCGTCAAACTGAAAGCAAAAGTAAAATATGTCCGGGCCCGGTCCTCTCTCAGCTTCCTCTGCCATAGTTCCTCCTTTTATGGTCCAGAGCTCCTTCCGTGGGATCCGAGGCAGGTGCGCACCGCAGGTGTATCTACTTACGCGGTGGCCTCACCCCGTTCCCACGACTCTTGGCCACGCCCCCTCACCACATACCCCCATCTCCCATCTCCTATCACCTATATGAGATGGGCCAAGAGAAAAGGAGATGGGAAAAAAAAGGAGGAAAGACAGAGTAGACCGAGAAAGGGGAGAGAAGAAAAAGGAAAAAAAATTGGGGTTCGGTTCTCCAGACACGCTGCCACTCGGTCCTCCACCAGCTGAGAGATGCGACGACGTGCTGGGAGCCCTGTGGAGGAATCTATGTACCCGTCCGTCTTCTGGCGTCCGGCGGCGGTTCTCCTGGTTGGCTGGTGGCATTTCTGGTCTCCTGCTCCACTCCCACTTCGGTGGACGGATGCAGGCTCTGGCATCATGGCTGATCGCGGCGACTCCCCTGGGTTCTGTGGGATGGCTCCCTTCAGCACTTTCCCTTCCGGTGGTGAGCGCACCGTCCCCTGCTCCTCCCCATGCTGGGAGACGGCAGCAGGCAGATCCTTTCCTCCCCAGCCTCAGGCCGCCCTGGAACTCTGGGCAGACGAACGGGTTTCTCCCCCACTCGGGTTAACTCCCGAACACTCGCCCCCTCTCTCAGCAGCAAGGGCATCTGGACAATGCGTCCCTCCTTCTCCCGGGCTTCGGCACCACTGTAATAAAGTTCACGGCCCTTTGGCCGCCGGGAAGAAGGAGGCGGAGAACCGACGCAGGTTTAAATTATTTATTAATAACAGTGACGGCAGCTCCTCACAGAGACTGCCGTCTAAACCAAAACAAATGGACGGCAGCTCCTCACGGAGACTGCCGTCAAACTGAAAGCAAAAGTAAAATATATCCGGGCCCGGTCCTCTCTCGGCTTCCTCTGCCATAGTTCCTCCTTTTATGGTCCAGAGCTCCTTCTGTGGGATCCGAGGCAGGTGCGCACTGCAGGTGTATCTACTTACGCGGTGGCCTCACCCCGTTCCCACGGCTCTCGGCCACGCCCCCTCGCCACAATGACATTCTCAACTTTATAATTAAACAAATCAAGTAGAGAATCAACAAAATCTGCAGATATACTTGGTGCTAGCGATATGGCCTTCATAAACTGCTCACTAGTGTTCTCGTTTATGCATCTCTTTCTGATAGAGACAGATCTGTCTTTAATAGCTGGAGTGATCAATATATCAAAGAAGATACAGAAATGATCAGATAGTGCCACATCCTTAACAACAGTCGATGAAATGTGTAAACCCTTAGTTATAAGTAGATCAAGAGTGTGTCCACGATTGTGTGTGGGTCCTTGAACATGCTGAGTCAGATCAAAAGTGTTAAAAACAGTCATCAGTTCTTTTACAGCATTGATTTCTGGATTATTAATATGAATATTAAAATCCCTAGCAATAGTAAAATAGTCAAATTCAGAGGTTAATATTGATAACAGCTCTGTAAAATCATTAATAAAACCTGCAGAATATTTTGGAGGTCTGTAGATAATGATCAGTAAGATGCGTGGAGCACCTTTTAGTACTATACTCAGATATTCAACGGACAAATAGTCACCAAATGACACTTGTTTACACTCATATACATCTTTAAACAGGGCAGCGATGCCTCCACCTCTCCTATTAACTCTGCAAACACTCAAAAAGTCAAAGTTTAAAGGAGCTGCTTCATTCAGAACTGCTGCGCTGCAACTGTCATCTAGCCAAGTTTCATTTAAAAGCATAAAATCAAGGCAATTTGTGTTGATAAAATCATTGACTAAAAGAGACTTATTGTTGAGTGATCTGATGTTTAAAAGTGCTAACTTAACAGTTTTAGCCATTTTACTACAAAAGTCTCAGATATACATTTAATAGACACCAGATTTGAAGGATTTGCTATACGGTCTGAAAGAGTCTTTGGTTTTCTGACACATAATAAGACACATATCTGCGTAGAGAAAGCTACAGACACACTGGGTTCCTGCTTGTTCTGTAAACATCTGATAAAGACACTGTTATCTGAGCAGGTCCCCGACACACATAAATGGCAGTTTTTAAGTTCACCAGCTAAAGATGAGGTGTTTTTTGGGACCTGGTGCAGTCACAAAGACCTGAGGCCTCTCCTAGGAGTGGGGCTTGCTGATTTTGGTTGCTAACTGGGGGCTAGCAGCAAGGGAGTGTGAAAGTTTAGTTCCAGCACACACCAGTTCCTCCATCTTTTTTGAAAAATCCAAGAGAGGCGAGCAAGGTGACAATGAGAACGTGTCTGGTGACAGAGGCTGTGGGTCTGGGGTTTCTGGCTGCTGAGATATGTTTACCTGGCTGTTTTCCTGGGGATCATCCATGAGTGCTGAGACTGCTGAGACTTGATGCTGTTCTGATGCATCACAGTCTGCCTGTGTTGAGCTCAGTGTGCAGGGTGCAGACGGCAGTTTGTCCATTATCAGTGGTTGTTGTGGCTGCGTGGTGTTATCTCTGTCCTTAGGATGCGTCAGCCACAAGTCCACTCAGGAACTGATTTGAAGTCCTGTGGTCATTCGGACATTTGCTAGGTGTGTATGTGTGTCACTCAGTTCAGTGGCATACACAGCTGATGGATGATGGAGGGAGAAGAGGATATTGTCTTTCAGCACTTTTGCACCAAGCTTGTTTGGATGAAGGCCGTCTGATGTTCAATTCAATTCAATTCAGCTTTATTTTTATAGCGCTTTTACAATGTAGATTGTGTCAAAGCAGCTTCACATAAATGGTCATAGTAACTGGAACAGTGTGGTTCAGGTTTTAGTGTTTAAGTTCAGTTCAGTTCAGTTTAGCTCAGTTCAGTGTGATTTAATCATTACTGAGAGTTCAAACACTGAAGAGCCAATTCATCGATGCGTAGCTCTACCAATCCTGAACCATGCGAGGCAGTGGGGACAGCTGTCTTTGTAAACAGCTGTCTTTGGTTCCAGAAGAGATTGAAGTTGTTGATGAAATTCAGTCTTTTCATGTTACATGTTTTCTGCAGCCATGCATTTAGACCAAGGAGCCGTGAAAACATATTTGTCCCTCTTGCAGGGAGTGGTCCACTGATGAACGGCTGAATTTTCAATCTTTCAGCTGTTTCCAAAATCTCACAGAAATCTTTCTTAAGCAGTTCTGACTGCTCCTTCCGAATATCATTCTTCCCCACATGGATGATAATCCGTTTTGCAGTATTGTGCTTTTTCAGAATTTCCTCAAGTTCTTTATTTATATCATAAATTGTCGCATGAGGAAAGCAGTATGTCATGGTAGCTCTGCTCCCAAAATTTTTGATTATTGAGTCTCAAACAATCAATATTCTTATCTCTGTTGCGATCGGAGCAGAATGCCACTGTCTAGTCGGCCTTGAGCCTCTGTTCAGTGCAAAGGTAATTGCTGAGTCATGCGATCTCTGTCTAACTGCATTTGGGGATTCTTCACCCATATTACTCAAAACTTCATATCTGTTCTGAAGCTGTATTTGAGTCCGAGCTGTATTTGCTGTAGAGAACGCTAATGCAGCAGCGTATGACCTTTGTGATCTGACCCCACGAGTACCCTTTGGTCTTGCACCTTGTTTATGCCATAGTTCACGCTGATTTTCAACAGTTTCAATCTGTTTTTCTCTTCTCAAAACAGTAGCTGGAGTAGATTTATAGGGCTTACCGGCTGAATGCTGTGAGGCTCCAAGATAAACCAGTCCTGTGTAATTCGACAGTTCTGGTCGGATCGCAAGTAACTTTGTTTCAAGAACTACAATCTTTTGTAAAAGTTTGTGGCAGTTGGTGCAGCAGGGAGATTCCAAATCAATATAATCCAGAGCCATTTTCACAGCCATGTTTTCTCGTCTCAGGAATGAAAGTAGCTGGTAGCAGGAGGATTATTTAGACGATAATTCCTCTTTTGCTGGTAAAGTTGTATTCCAGAAAGTTTGTAGATTCGATGTTGATCTTCAAGCTGTTTCGTTTGAGCACTGTGCTGATAAGCTCAAGTTAAAATTAGAGTATAAAATATAAAAGCAGGAGTGGTAGCAGGAGCAGTAGGCAAAGACCTCCGAACAGTAGCGAAGCTTAAGGTAAACCTAAACTTAAGTAGCTTAAGGTAAACACATCTCACCTGGCATGTATATCTATTTTTTATTTTTTTTGCTGCTATGCCCATTGCTATTATCACTGCAAAAATTAAAATCTTTTTCATCCGTTACTCTCTCGTATATACACTATTTACCTTGAGTTTAAAACATCATCTAAACAAAATCTAAAATATTTTAAATCTAATTATGGGATTTAATCTATAAAGTAATTATGTTTTTAAAATAAGGAACACATTTTTATATTTTTAAAAAATGCTTTTTAACTTACTAAAATCCATGCTTCCTCAAAATGTTTAACTTTCTTTTGTGGCATAATGAAAGGAGAAATGATGGCTGAATAAAGCTTCTTGAATAATAAAACTTTGCAGAAATGAAGTTCTGTTTTTATGTTTTAGGTGATCTCAGTGTGCTTTGATGGATCGCTTTGTATGTACATAAGTTAAACGAGAAGCAGCTTCCAGAACGTACTTTTTAAGGTAAGTTTTCCTGTTATGTCTTGTTTGTCTTGTGGTTTTGTGCAAATAGTGTAAAATAATCATCACAAAACTGACATGTATAACTTTCAAATTAATATTATTTTAATGTATTTTCTTTTGCATGAAACTTTACAAAACTTGTTTATAATGCGAGTAATTCAGTTTACTACCATTTGTTATTCTTCTTTTACCGATAATGGCTAATGAAACTTAAGTCTAACACATTTGCAGAAACATATTATTTTGTAAACATTTATAGACATAATGTAACACTGACAGCTGTAAACTTACTAATTTCTTTAAATGCAATGAAAATAGTTAGTCAAGCATACTTTCTTGTTGCTTAAAAGGTGGATAATTGACATTGTGTAGATAAAATGTGTGGAATTATTAACAATACCCACAGTGTAATTTAGGTTTTCATGTTGTGTGTTTATACAAAATTTTAAAATGTATTTGCAGGAAACATGGTATGCCCAAAGTTGAAATAATAGTCCAGTCCTGGAGTCATTGAAGAGAGTCTGAGGAACATACGAAAGCATCTGATGCACTTGAGAGGCCACAAGGAGAGAGGGAAGATGCACCAAGCAGGACAGTCATGCCAGATAATGGGTAGACTTAATTTTTAAAACAGTAGTTTAAAAAACCTGCTTTCTTAAACCCCATAACTTTAAGATGTCAAGTGAAAAGACTTTTTTGTTTAGCTCATACTCATAGGTTGCTGGTGCCCTTAAATAATACTACTAATAAAAACAATTAGTGCAATGTACTTTTTGTATTCATATTTTTTTTCAAAACATTTTTGCTGATATTGAGGTGAGATACGAGTAAAGTCTGGCACAGGTTTGGTGGTTTGGGTATGTGCGATAGTGGGTTAAGATATAAGTTGTAGGTAATTATAAATATTGCAGAAATTCTTTAATTATGCAGTAATCTATAAATGAGACAATTGAAAACCAAAATTTAAGTCAATTTAAATGTAAATATAATGTAATATCATGTAACAAGAAATCTGGTAACACTTTACAATATTTTTTATTTGTTATTATTTCTATTTATTCATTCATTTTCTTTTCGGCTTAGTCTCTCTATTAATCCGGGGTCACCACAGCGGAATGAACCGCCACCTAATCCAGAACATTTTACGCAGCGGATGCCCTTCCAGCTGCAACCCATCTCTGGGAAATGTACATACACACTCATACACTACGGACATTTTAGCTTACCCAATTCCCCTGTAACGTATGTCTTTGGACTGTGGGGAAAACCGGAGCACCCAGAGGAAACCCACGCGAACGCGGGGAGAACATTCAAACTCCAACTCCAACGCCAACTGACCCAGCCGAGGCTCGAACCAGCGACCTTCTTGCTTTGAGGCGACAGCACTACCTACTGCCCCACTGTGTCGCCTTATTATTAATATTAATATTTGTTAATACTTTTCCTTCGACTAACATAATAAAAATGAGCAAGACATTTGTTGCAGCATTTATTAATCTTTGTTAAAGTTAATGTCATTTATTGGTTCATGTTATTTCTCAATGCATTAACCACTGTTAACAAAACACAATGTGATTTTAAAAGTAAATGTAGAAATTAATAAATTCTGTAGAAGTACTGTTAATACTTAGTTTATGTTAACTAATATGTTACAAAAACTTTTCAGACATGCTTTGTAGGCCAATCAAAGGCTCTGTCCATACCCACACCTTGACTCTCCCACTCTGACATTTTTTTCAATTTCATTATCTGTCCCTTAGGTTGGAATAAATATGGTAGAGTACCTCCAGCAGACTGAAGCATCAAGCCATGTCACTTCAAAATAAACATGTTAACTCTCTGGCATTTAACCTCCTGCCAGGTGAAGCTTTATAGATAAGTACTCTCATTAGGGCAGTGGATGTACAGTCTGCTTCAAATAATTTTATATTTTTTATGGAAACTACCCAAAACAGTCTTTCTATTGTTGGGAGTTTATTCAAAATATTTACAAGTTAGACAGAAGCAAATCCCCAGCAGTGACATTTTTACACTCTGTGCTACATTCTTGCAAGTACTGTAGATCATTGAACAAGCACTGGTTTGAGTACATGAAGTAGCATTCATTCATTTTCTTTTCGGCTTAGTCCCTTTATTAATCAGGGGTTGCCACAGTGTAATGAACTGGCAACTTATTACGCAGCTGATGCCCTTCCAGCTGCAAACCACTGGAAAACCCCTGGAATACACAAGCATTCACACACATACAGTATGGCCAATTTAGCTTACCCAATTCACCTATACCACGTCTTTGGACTTCTTGGAAAACCAGAGCACTCTGAGGAAAACCACGCCAACACGAAGAGAACATGCAAACTCCACACAGAAACATTTGCCAACTGACCTAGTCGGGATTTGCACTGTGATCTTTTTGCCGTGATGCTATAGTGCTAACCACTGCACCACTGCCCCGCCATAAGGTAGCATTTTAGTTTTATTTGCATACAGGTTTTTTTTCTGTATGTAAACAGTTATATTGCTTGAGGAAGAGTTTTACTTTGTTCACACTCTGATGAATATTAATGACATTTTTGCCCTAGCAGGAAGAATTGATATATTATGAATATATTGTTCATAATATAGACTAAAATCACTGCTTTGTAACAAACAACTGTTGAGAAATGTTGGAATTTTAATGTGCATTAGGATTTATGTGCAACAGCTTTACTAAACCTTGAGGTTTTTTGTAGTTAATGAATTTTTTAATGTTAGACATTTGGCATTCTAAATTCATGTGCATGTGAATTCATGTGAATTGTTTAAAATGTTTACAGGCAACCAATAAATATGAATGACCTTTCGCTAAGCCACACACACCTTACCCTAAACAGATCTAAACTGCGTTAATTCCTACAAAAATATAAAGCAGGTTATGTTTCCCAGCTGTCTTTTTCTTTTTTTCCTGCTCGATATTATGAGTAATGCTCCGTTTTAGCCTTCGCCATAACGTTAGTAATGTTAGTCATATTAATAGAGAATAGGTCATGGGTTATTGATCCGGAAAATACGAATCTGCGAATCTGTTGCTAGCTTTACTAAACTTCATATTTCCATCTTATTTCAAGCTACGAATACTTGAAATTACAAATCAACCAAACAAAACAGAGATGTGATCACAAACTGAGCAGCTGCGATCAATATACTTTATCAGAAGCATTAATTTATAAAGAGTACACAAACATACTGACAGTTATAGGTAATGTACATTGTTATGAGTCAATTATGCTACCATTTGAGACAAATCCATCAGTTTCCCCTTTCTGGCTGTTCTTTCTATGAATAAACAAAAAGCACTGTCATGCTTGTTTCCTTGTCCGTTAGTAACGCTATATTTTATTGCACAACAATTAATCTATCAGGCTTTTAGGCTAAAAAAAGAGAAATCATAGTTTAACTAGTTATTATTTGATTATTTTTAAATTTCACCTCTCCTGCTGAGCATGAGCTAAACTGTTGAATGGTTAGCATATGAGGCGGCTAGGCTAAGCTAGCTTCAATTTTGAATTAATTATTCTCTAATCGGTTCCCTATTTTGTCATGAGTATACACCTGTAATGCATACTGCAGTCCTTTTTTGTCTGGCTTTCTCGGATATCTCACCTGTTCGCCAAAAATGACATTATATCCCTGGCAATTTCTGACACCGGCACACACACATTGAAAAAGTCATGCCAGGCACAAAAGCTTGACAGGCGTAGCAACAGTAACTAAGGAGGGAGGGCTTAGCGAAGGGTCCATTGTTTTGAATGCATTTTATAATTTGCATTTAGTTTTGTATGGTCTCTGAGCTAAAGTGTATTTAAAAACTAATGTTCAGAAAAAAAAATGTAATGGAACAAAATAATAAAGCTATTACAATATTGACCTGTTTGTTTTTTATGTGATTAATGATTTTAAAAGAAAACAAAAAATACTTTTGAAATTATAATCTATTTATTAAATCAAATTATATTGGATAGAAAAACAACACATTTACTTAGGTTAGTTTAACCCCTGTCCCATATTTACCCAGCAGTAGGGTTAAGTTTTTAACCCTGTGTTTTTTAGAGTGTAGATTATGATGGGGTAGGTGATCTACTGGCACTCTCAAAAGACTGCTCTCCCACAAGGTACCTTTTGCTCTTTCTCCAGTGGAGGACAAGTTTAACCTCTTTGGGTGTGAAAGTTTAAGCATTGCCATTGTCTGGGATGTGCTGTCTTCCAGCTAGCAACCTCAAAAAAATGTCACTACAGGCTCTGTAAGTGCCAGAGGACAGGCTGCTTTCTCTCGCACATCCAGCCTTTCTGTGGGATCCTGTGATGAGGATTAGACCTATTTGCTAACTTCCAGCTCATCTATGCCTAGTTCACACAACAGGATTTTAAACATCAGCAGATCACTGTGCTGTTCACACTACATGACTTGATTTTGTGTCTTTTAATAGCTGTGGTGTTCACACTACACAACATTATGTGAATGATCCACAGGAGGGGGTCACACACTACATGATCTGACAACAACTCATTCCCCATCAGCTCATTCAAGCTACCAAACCACAGCCAATAAAATTTTGAGGGAGGAGTCGCCAGACAAAGCTGTACATTATTGGCTGCTTGTGTGCTGATTACATCACTGACAGCGTTTCAAGCTTTCAAGGAAGCATTTAAAAACATCTCAGCTGATGCATCAGTGAATTATCTCATCTGCAAGTTTTTTTTTTTTATTGTTGTAATTTTATAACTCTTTGAAATAAAACTCACATATCTATAACACCATGACGTTTTCTAAATATCAGTGTATTTCTTTCAAACATTTTTTTTTTATTATTATTATTACAAAACCGTAAAGAACTGAGTATCTCTACCATTAATTACCGTATTGGTCAATATGACTGCATGCATGTCATATACTTTTCGCTGTGACTTTAAATATGTGTGCATTTTTTTGCCTAGCAACTTCCTGCAAGCATAAACAAAACTTTCTGATGGCAAAAACATCAATTTACTTCAGATATCTTTCAAAACAGCATATTCTGTGCCGCGAAATAGCTCCTGTTTGAAAGTGAAAATGAAAGCCAAGACCTTTGCGTGTTCTAATATCTTAACTACCTATTTATAGGCTGTATTACCAAAAAAGATTATATTTTTAGGGTAATGGTGTCATTAAATATGATGCCAGACATTCAAAGCTTAATTTTAATTTCTCAATAGAAGCTTTGAATGTAAATATGATGTGACAGTATGGCATTTTATATGAGAACGGTCAGAATGAGCAGTATGGTAATTCTAATAGTTACAGAATTCTAGTTTCACTGTAAATATAGCCTACTCTCATGTCTGTGTTAACGCAGAATGAAGCGAGTGCATCGATGCCCATTCTGACCAATCACAGATGTTTCTGCTGAGCTCCTTAGCACACAGGCATTCAGCTCATGCTGATATGCTCTCTCATTGGCTGCAGCTCGTTACTACATCTGACCACACTTGGGGCCGACTGCTCTGAAATATTTAGCATGCTAAATATTGGATTTCCATCTGCGAGGTGTTGGCGGCGCGTCAGCGAGCCTCGTTAATGCATTGTTTAGTAGTTCACATATAAAGACTGGAGAGCGCCGTGCACCCGCAGATTTCTTCCCGATCACAGCCCGATCCGTCAACAAGCTCGTTTCCAAATCGGGCTCATATCAGGCTTAAAATCCTGTAGTGTGAACTAAGCTTTAGCATATGACGCTCTTTTTTTGGGACGCACCACTTTCTGAGAGTAATACTCTTACCCCCCACTGTTGGTGCATCAGTGATTGTTCTAATGGTGCCACTTATATGGGCTCTGCTGGCCCGGTTTAGACTGCAAAGCCAGTTGCACTGGTTCATTCAGATGATCACTTGGCTGGGATGTGTTCAGGGATGTACATTTTACTATGGTCAGTACCGCAGCTGGCCCTGTCTTGCTTGATGACACTGTTGTCTTCCTGGTCAAGGGTGCAATAGAACTGGTGCCTCCCGCCAAGATTAAGTGTGGGATGTCTACAACAGAAAGACCCCTGTTTTCCAGTCAAATTGTTTCAGACAGGCAACCAACAGCTCAGTACACTTTTTGCAGGTTTGTGGACTGGATCCCAGCTGCATTGGCATATCAATTGCCTGGAGCTGTTGCCAGTGTTTCTAGCTCTCTGCCACGTCCAATTGGCATAGGAGGGGAAACGTGCTAGTAAGTACTGGCAACATGGTTGCTGTTATGTATGTCACCTGCAAAGATAATATACACTTACGCTGCATGTCACAGCTCACTTATCATCTGCTCCTATGGAGTCACACATGGTTAAAATCATTGTGTGCTCTTCACATTCCAAGCAAGCTCAATGGTCACAGCAGCTCACGCTACTGGGAGAATACAGACTCCATCCTAGTGCAGTCCACCTGATATGAAAGCATTTGGGAGAAGCCCATGTTGTTTGCTTCTCCTGAAACCAACAGATCAATAAAACAGACAAACAGGTGTTAACACAAACCTACAACCATGACACATAAGAATGCAATTTGGGACGCACCTTGTGTCATCTATAGCTCCTTTCACACATACAGACCTTTCCGGAAAATTGCCGGTATTTTTCCGGAAAGGTCTATATGTGTGAACATGCCCATTTTGAAAATACCGTTAAATTCTTTCCGGCAGGCCCGGATTGGCTAATCGTGAAAACCGGCAAAATTCCCTGTGGGCCAGTCCGTTTTTTGTTTATTTGACCATAACCTCACTCGTTTTATTCATTATTTTGCCGCAGCTCAGCTCTTTTTATTTATTTTCTCGCAGCCCCGTGAGCAAAATAGAGCCCGCAGGTTAATGATGATGATCATTCCACCCCAAACAGCGGCACCTTAGTGAATATTAATTAATATTAATGAATATTACACATGCTCAATGAAAATAAGATGATTCACTACATTAATAAATCTGACATAACTTGATCAGAAATCTAAAAAAGGGAGAAAAAGAGTGGGGTTAAAAAAAAAAAAAGAGTAGACATCAATAGCAGCATGATACTTCAATGCAATACTTAACAATGCCATTGTGGTCTAGTGGTTAGCTCATTGTGTTACGATGCTGCCGATCCGAGTTCAAACCTTGCCAGAGTATAATATATTTTACATTTTTTTTTTTTTTTCATTTTCAGTGTTGAGACATATAATACTGTTTGGGTTAGTTATGTAGGGGTACATAAATATATATATATATATATATATATATATATATATATATATATATATATATATATATATATATATATATATATATATATATATATATTGACAACCTTTACAAAGGACTGGATATCTATAAAGAATTAATGTTCTCATATTTATGAAAAACATTAGAAGTTCTAAAGCAGCTGTGTCCTTGAAAAAGACATGTGTAATTTGAAACTGAATTGGAAATAATGTTATTTTAATATAGTCAGTCGTCGACTGAGGTGAGCCAGTCTAAGGCTTGAAACTCCAGAAATAAAAAGCAGTCCCATTCTGGCCCTGCGTTCTGGCTATTTTCTAGAAAGAGAAGTTGTAACATTACCGGTAATTTGCCAGAATGCTGCGCTGTGTGAACGCAGAAGGAAGACTGCCGGAAAGATCGCGTGCACGTCTAGAATGTGCTGACGTGAGACGTCTATTTTAGCCAATCAGAACAAACAGACACATTCACGTCTGCACGGTTTATGAGAATAAAAGCCTTTGAATATTTTTCCAGACGCATTTAGCTGCTAGAAGTTAGTCAGATAACGTTTCTATGTTCATCTTAATGTCAATTGTGTAAATAATTATTCATAAGATGCTTATGATAAGCCATTGTTTGTTTACCTTTAAGCTTTGCGTGTGCCCGTGAAACAGCCCATGAGCGCCAGCACACACACAAATCATGTACATCTCGACACAACACTCATCCATCCACAGAGTTTGTAATGTAGTCAAATTAATGATGTCAGAATACAGGTTAATGATGTCAGAATTTAATGCTATTTATTTGTAATGGATGTGTGAATGGACTTTTCTGGAAAAAAGTATGTAATGTCCTCGCCTGTGTGAACAGCGCTTTTTTGAATTTACCGGTAAAGTAGTTCCGGAAATTTTTCAGATATTTACCGGTATCACTGTGTGATAGGGGCTTATGGTTTGCTCTCCTGCTGATGGTTTTTTAGTACACACTTGAACTTTTGTACTGCTGTACACTGCTATCTTTATAATTAGACTGCGTATTAAACTATCTAAGGTTTAACCGAACCTTTTTCTAACAACAGAAAACAGTATTCTGCATAGGTTCAGTAAGCTTAAAACCTGACATCTATTCTTATGAAATGACTGCCAGTCCATTGATAACAGTGGTTGCAGTGGACAATAACTGTTCAGTCTTGCCCATGTGTACAAAGAAATTACTCAGACTTGCATGAACACAAGGTGAATCAATCTTATATTTACATCATTTTTCGGTGTAAACATGGTTGATAGACGTGTTTATTTTTTTCCCCCAATTTCTGTTTAACGTAAAGCAGATTTTTTCAACAATTTTCTAAACATAATAGTTTTAATAACTCATCTCTAATAATTGATTATTTTCAAGACACTACTATACAGCTTAAAATAACATTTAAAGGTTAACTAGGCAGGTTCGGGTAATTAGGCAAGTTATTGTATAATGATAGTTTGTTCTGTAGACCATAGTTTGTTCTGTAGACCATCTGAAAAAATATATAGCTTAAAGGGGCTAATAATATTGTCTTTACAATGGTTATTTAAAATGTTATTTTTTTCTGCTTTTATTCTAGCCAAAATACAACAAATAATACTTTATCCAGAAAAAAATATATATTATCAAACAAACTAAAAAAATTATTTGCTCAGTTAAACATTGTTTGGGAAATATATATGTAAAAAAACATAATAAAGGGGGGCTAATAATTCTGACTTTAACTGTACATAGACATACACATACACAAAGTATATACTGATGTGTCTTTTTTTATCAGTTTTGCAATGTATACAATATAAGGAAAATCTTCAAAATCTTACAGACTGCAATATGACTGTTGGTATGTTTGTTACACCACAAAATTCTGCATGGTTTATTTGGTTTCATGTATAAATATTTATTTTATAAATTCTTTTTATATTTGTATTTATATTTAAAGCTTCCAATACAGCTGAAAAAAGAAGTCAGGAGGGCAAAAACAACTCTACAGGTAGTATTTAAAATGACCATGCATCTTTTCAAATTTACTTAATGTTAACAAGTAATTGTTGTTATTATTTAATTAATCTCAGCTTAAAAAGAACAAAAACTTTGTATTTTTGTTTGTATGCTTGACAAATTTTAAACAAAGTAAAAAATACTATAAGAAAGGTATTGTGGCAATGTTATTAATATTATGTATATCTCTGTAGACAACTAGAGACTAGACATATGAAGACAATAAATCAATGTATCATGATAATGGACCAGCACAATATTGATATCAAGGGCACTTCAAAATAATGTGAATAATTATTTATTATTATATTATATATAGTGTTTTGAAGCAAAATGTGTGACTTTTTTTTTTCAGAAGATACAGCAGACTGCAAACTTGGTATGATAATTTTGCTATTCTTGTATAGAATATACTACACTTCAACTCATAATTGTGGTTTTTATTAAAAGTTAACATGTTGCACTAATAGTGTTGTCTGTCAAATATTGTTTAATGAAAAATTATTTTCTAGTTCTTGTTTCACATTATTTGCATTTGTATAGTGTGGGTGACACAGTTGCGCAGTAGGTAGTGCTGTTGCCTCACAGCAAAAAGGTTCGCTGGTTCCAGCCTCGGCTGGGTCAGTTGGGGTTTCTGTGTGGATTTTGCATGTTTGCATGCGGTACAGGTGACTTGGGTAGGCTAAATTGTCCGTAGTGTATGAGTGTGAATGAGTGTTTATGGATGTTTCCCAGAGATGGGTTGCAGTTGGAAGGGCATCCACTGTGTAAAACATATGCTGGATAAGTTGGTGGTTCATTCCACTGTGGCAACCCTAAATTAATAAAGGTTCTAATTTGAAAAAGAAAATGAATGACTGTATAGTGCTTTATGAATAAGTGTTTCATTTTAAATAATGAAATTCATTGCAAGTCTTTGGACAAAAGCTTCTGCTAAATTTGTAACATAATACGAAAAAAAAAAAACGATAGTATGTTACTGGTATCATAGTTTTTCTTTGTGGGTCATATACTATACATCCTCAATTATATGGTTATTATATAAACATTAACCTAATTGCTTTTATGATTCACACTTACAATTGCAAATTATGCTTGTTTTAGTTTGGATTTACTGTTTTCTGTTGCTGTTGATTTTGCTTCTTTTTTTCTGTTTTGTAGAAACTTATATTCTAGGAGGAGTAATTTTATGTTTAATTGGAGTGGTATTTTTAATTGCCCTAGTGATTCGGGTAAGATACACATTATATTGCTGGGTAATAATATAGTTATTTTACTAAATAATACTAGTCAAACACTAAATTGTATACAGTACCGTTTGTTACAGTATGTCACAGAATGTAAAACTTAGATTTTTGTTTTATTCTAGATTATCATGAAGATGAGAACAGGTAAGAAGTCTCTTGAGATTAAGTGTGTTATAGATAGTGATCCTAGCCTAGTCTTACAGAAACTAGTCTCATTGGATATTTATTTGAATAGTAACTGGATAATATTGGGAAAGTTAAAAGCAAAGTAAATTGTTTTATTATTCAAGTCACTTTTCTGGCACAAAAAGAATGGCATACCTCTTTTTACTATACATAATGTAATATAACTTAAAAAAAAAAAAAAAAAAAAAAATATATATATATATATATATATATTTTATATATATATATATATATATATATATATATATATATATATATATATATATATATATATATATATATATATATATATATATATATATAAGAGAGAGTAATATGATGGACCACCTGTCAAAAAGTTTGATGGATTGTAGCCCCGCCCCTAATGCGGGACTTCCGGTATAAGCCCCGCCCTTTTATATCAACTTTATGGTTCCAGTAATTAGATTCTTATCGTTTAATATAAATTAATAATTGCGATAATTGGATTTTTATCAGACTAATTAAATTAATGATTCAGGTGATAAAAATATTGGTAATTAAATTCTAATCAAACAGAAATAAATTATATCTAATATTAGAACAATTATTTTATATTTTTAATTATTGCAGTAAATTATATTATTATATTTATAATATCTAAATAATATTAATATAATTGTAATATTTAGATTATACTATATTATTTACTATTATATTAAATTATTGCATATTATATCATTATATTATTCTATTTCATTATATTATATTATTAAATTATGTTATATCATATTATATTATATTATCTTTGACTATATTTTATTATATCATATTGTAATTAATAAACTATTAACATAAACATTTCTTTATGTTTAGCCTGTTTGTGTTTCCTCTGTGTGTCAGTTTGTGTCTGAGCGTTTCAGTGATGATAAGGAAAACTTTGGAGAACATACCGTCAACTGCTTGTGAAAGATAGATTTCTATCAGATGTAGAATATGTATATCTGATTGTATGTGTTGGGTGTCTCCCACTAAATACTATATGTTGTTAGGTGATTAGAAAGTCAGTCAACTGTATGCATATGTGTGTGTGTGTGTGTGTGTGTGTGTGTGTGTGTGTGTGTGTGTGTGTGTGTGTGTGTGTGTGTGTGTGTGTGTGTGTGTGTGTGTGTGTGTGCGTGCGCGCACACTCAAGCGAACTTGGGTCTGGCTTTGTATGCTTGAATCCACAACACTGTATTTACTAAATAGGTTATGTTGTTTTTCACATTATTATTACATTAATACATATTTTAAGACACACAAACATTTTGATGTATCTTTGTCGGAGTATTAAATTAAAATATGTTTACAATATTTTTTGTCGGCTTATTCCCTTTATTAATCCGGGGTCGCCACAGCGGAATGAACCGCCAACTTATCCAGCAAGTTTTTACGCAGCGGATGCCCTTCCAGCCGCAACCCATCACTGGGAAAATGTTTACAACTTTAATATAGTAAATAACAAATATTAATCTGTATTGACAACAAATTGTCACACCTTTTAAAACAATGTTATCTAAAAATGTAATGTTCTAAACTGTTGGTTGAAAAACACAGATGTAAATTCAAGTTGTCTTTGTAAACATTTTAAAATGATTGTTTTTTCCTTTGACTAACGTGTTTTCGATTTTTGTACATGCTTGTTCTGTAATTTATGGCACTTGGCACACATTGTAATACAGTTAATCCAAATCCTAATGTTTTGAGCACTGGTCATCACTGGTGTAGGTTTAAAAATCAACCTAAAAGGTTTACTAAAAAGGACTTATCAGTCTTTAGACATTATTGTTATTTCTGTTTCAAAAGATAAATAAAATGTATAAATTCTAGTAATTGTATTACTCACAATTGAAGCCAGGCAACTTAGTTACTGAATTTTAGATTCAAACAGTTTTTTTAAAATTAATTGCAAATACTTGATCATATAAAAAGAAATATGTTTAGTATTCTGAATAATGGGAAAATGCTGATAATTATTTTGAGAAGAAAAATTGACTCTCAGTTTATCTAAAAACATTACAGCTCCAGCCCTTAGTTAAATCTACTTAATGTTTTATAGTAAAATTTTCTAGTTTAACTACTGATTCCACCATTTATATGTTCATACAATAGTGTCAAATCTAGTCTACAAATTTGTCAAAATTAGTCAAGTTTACAAGTAGTTATTGAAAGTAAACTGATTACTTTTTTACAGGGTAAATTATGCTTTTCTTCTGCCAATAGATTTAATCAAGATTATTGTCACTACAAACAATTTGTTGGGAGTGTTTATGCCTCAAACATAAGCAAACGGTTTTGGTACCGTTTGTATCAAATTGGAATATGTTGTCATTCGTAGATTATCTATATTATAGTGATGGTAAAGTGTATGTTTAGATATCTCCAGAACGTATAATGCATAACTTAATTTTTTAATTACTTTGTTTTAACAGATCCAATTGAAGTAAGCCTAGGTTTTTAACCAAACTTGACCTTTTAAAATAACTTTAATCTAACAACCAATTATGGGTAATGGCTCCTAAACTTGATCTCTTTCTTGGCCTCAAAGGCATTGTAATAAGTTATGGAATATGGGTTATTTCGTAAATGTAATTGTATTTTCTTACAAGTATATTTCACTTAAAATAAATAGCATGTCTGGTATCGTTAAATTTTTAATTCCAAAATGCATATGCAAGTGTAGATGTAATCTTATTTCTTCTTAAACATTCTTTGAAAAAGAACACTATCATGAAAGATGCAAATTTCAGTTAAATATGTGACTGCTTTGAGTCCTAATAGGAATCCAAATAAACAACTATATTGAACAATTCAAACTGCAGAATAATGTTGAAAAGACTGTACATATTTGCTTAAAAAAACATTCAAATTAATTGTATTGTCCATTTTGGCAATGAGTTTTGAGATGACTTTATTTGTGCATTATATTTTGTCAACCTAAAACTTCCATGAAATGTAAAATTCTATTAGTTCTGTAAAATCTTTCATTGTGAATATATTTACGCTATGACCCTGTATTTTTTTTTTTAATTTTAAAATAGGTATCTCTACATCATCACGCGTGTGTCTAAAATAAAATAAAATATGTTAACATTCGAGGTTACAGAAGTAACCCTTCGTTCCCCGAGGAGGGGAACGGAAGTGCTATAAGTGGATTTGATTTGAAATCCACGAAATGGGAGGATTCGGATCAGAAGCCGCTTCCCTGGAGAGTATTGAACGGGCCAATGAATGATGGAGCGAGCAAACGCCATACTTTTAAGCTGAAGAGACTTTCAAACAGCTAAGGGAAAGTCATTATGACGACGGAGTATAGCACTTCCGTTCCCCTCCTCGGGGAACAAAGGGTTACTTCTGTAACCTCGAACGTTCCCCTTCGGTTGGGGAACTTCAGTGCTATAAGTGGATTTGATTTGAATATATAGTCAAGCAAGCGTGACACACCCACATCATGGGGGGCGCGGTCCTCCAACGTGTCCCTGGCCCTAATTTATCCTACTTCAACAGAAGTCTTACGGATTTAGATATATTTTTTGAGAAGTCGTGAGCATCTAGATAATTCTAGGAAAATACAACAGTACGTTGGGAAGCGTGCAATCCCGGTAGGGAGGACGCTGCGGAGGCCATCCGTTACCCAAGGGGGGATAGATGGCAGAATTTACATATGGACTAGCCCTAAAAAGGGGGAGTACGCATAGCAGAAGAGTGGTTAGCGGAGAGGGAAGACACGGGTCCGCCCAGGGGGGGGGACTTAACCGTGGCGGAATAAGCATATGGGATCGCCTAGTGGGGATCACGCATAGCAGGCACCTTTACCCAAAACGCGGGCTGACCAGCAGGCAGACCTACAACGTAGTGGGCCAGCAAGTGACTCCTCCGCTGAGTCAGTGCTGGGGGCCACGGAGGAATCTGCAGGGCTCACCTGACGGGGAACTTTACTGACAGATAAAAGGGTGCACGTATCTCCGTGTTAGGGAAAATGGCGCAACAAGTGTGTCTCAACACCCTACTGAGTTGTTTCCTCAATCACCAAGGGGTTACCTAATACCCTTGAGGAAACCGGCTCCACTCGCATATTGTAAAACCTTGCAAAAGTGTTGGGTGTCGCCCAGCCCGCAGCTCTGATGTCTGTTAGAGAGGTGCCGCGTGCACGCGCCCAAGAGGATGCAACGATCCGAGTGGAGTGTGCACGCACTCCCGGGGGACACGGCTGACCTCGACTCGAATAAGCGAGTGAAATGCCATCCACAATCCAGAGGGATAATCTTTGTTTCGATACGGCACTTCCCTGCTGCCGACCGCCATAACAGACAAAGAGCTGCTCAGCTGATCTAAAATTCTGTGTACGGTCCACATAAATGCGCAGAGATTTATTAATTACAATATGATATAATAAAATATAGTCAAAGATAATATAATATAATATGATATAACAATTTAATAATATAATATAATTAAACAGAATAATATAATGATATAATATACAGTAATTTAATATAATAGTAAATAATATAATATAATCTAAATATTAAAATTATATTAATATAATTTAGATATTATAAATATAATAATATAATTTACTGCAATAATTAAAAATATAAAATAATGGTTCTAATAACAGATATAATTTATTTTCGTTTGATTAGAATTTAATTACCAATATTTTTATCACCTGAATCATTAATTTAATTAGTCTGATAGAAATCTAATTACCGGAATTATTAATTTATATTAAACTGATAAGAATCTAATTACTGGAACTATAAAGTTGATATAAAAGGGGCGGGGCTTAGACCAGAAGATCCGCCTCAGGGGCGGGGCTACAATCCATCAAACTTTTTGACATGTGGTCCATCATATTATTCTCTCTTATTTATATATATATATATATATATATATATATATATATATATATATATATATATATATATACATACACACACACACACATATCAGTTTTTCAAGCTCATATTCATAATGAATTATAACTCAGTTTATAATTATTTCTAATCAATTTTAACAATTCTATAAATGTATTTATAAAGACTTAATTAAACCTACAATCTATTAAAATGACAGCTACAATTATAATACTAATATTATTATTAGTTTATGCTTTGCATTTTTCAATACACAGTGGTGTAAAAAAGTGTTTGCCCTCTTAAAGATTTCTTATTGTTTGCATGTTTGTCACACTTTAATGCTTCAGATTATTTAAAAAATAATAATAGTCAAAGATAATACATTAAGCCATTTTTAAAGGATTTTTATTAACAAGAGAAAACATAGTGCTGGCAACGCAGTGGCACAGTAGGCAGTGCTGTTGCCTTACAGCAAGAAGGTCGCTGGTTCGAGCCTCGGTTGGGTCAGTTGGCGTTGCGGATGTTTTCCAGAGATTGGTTGCAGCTGGAAGGGCATCCGCTGCGTAAAACAAATGCTGGATAAGCAGGCGGTTCGTTCAACTGTGGCAATCCCAGATTAATAAAGGGAGTTAGCCGAAAAGAAAATTAATGAATGAATGATTCATTTAGATATTTTTACTGTATGTTATATTGTATAGCAGTATATACAAAAGATTCATAAAGGTTTTGAAGCTTCATGGAGAATAAAGTTATGATGACCCAGTAGTGCACAACACAACATTTCAATAACCAAACTATCTCAAAACACAACAAAAATAGCAATGTATTGTGAAAAAATTATTGTGGTGTCTAGAAGTAATCACTCTTTCGATCTGTATAGCTAACATTCTGAAATATCGTTGTGTTGTTGCTTAATGTCATTGTGTTGTGTGCACAAACTTAATACTTGTAAATGACATTAATTGCTATTCAATTTTAAGTGCTGCTTTTCACCTCCACTTTGTGGTGAAAAAGACAAAAATAAAAGACTATATATGTATTCATGAAAATGTGTAATAATTATGAATAATATGATTAAACTCATGTTCAGCTTCAGGCTCTGCAAACTTCACACATTCAGGTAAGAGAAAAACATCTATTCTAAATAAATCTATTTATTTCTTAGAATTGTTTAGGAAATGCTGTTTCTTCTCTCTCTTCTTTTGACAATTAGGGCTGAAACCCAGAACAAAAATAGAATACACTGTAAACGATTTCTTGTTAAATTAACAGTAAGTTACTGGCAACAATTATCCAGTAGCTGCTGTATTTCATAAAACAGTAACATTACTGTAATACTAATTACATTAGTATTACATTTACTGTACAATGTAATACATCATTTTACTGTTGTTGATTTTTACTGTAACACCAATTACAGTAGTGATACACATACTGCAAAACTGAAAACAGTATTTTATTGTACATTTTTACCATGAAGAACTACGGTATTTTAACGTTACTTTCATTATTACTGTATAGTATTTTACAGTTATTAAATGTTATTCTATTTTATTTAATAGTGCTACTTTATAATGGGTAAAAATGTTCAAAAATTGCAAAAGTGTTATTTTAACTGTTCAAGAAATACAAGAAAAATAAAGAAACTGAAACTTTAACTTCACAATAAAGGTTTATTGTGTAAACCATGCTAAAACAGTAGCAATTATTCAATATAACAAAGCAACAGAACACTAATAAACAATTGATCATTAAAACCAGTCAACAATTAATGCATCAAAAATTATTACAATTTTTAAAACAGGTGAAAATACTGCTACAAGACAGGAAATGATGAAGGCCAAATGATGTGGAAAGGGACAGTGAAAAAGGGCAGCAGCACTTCTGATGATCCTGCAAAAATGACACGCAAAATCAATCACTGGAGTAAAAACTAATCATCCCTCAAACCATTTAATTCATTCAGAAACGAAACACTGCACTGTTGTTTTTATATATATATATATATATATATATATATATATATATATATATATATATATATATATATATATATATATATATATATATATATATATAAATATACATAACAGTTATAATATATATAACAGTTTTTTTTAATTGTTTTTGTTGGTGAAATACAGTTTGTTGTCAATTCACAATTACACTAACGTTAATGGGGAAAAGATCTTGGGCATTGTTCTTGAAGATCGCTAGTCAGGTGTCCACACAGGTGTGTAAAAAATAAAGTCTTATCTTAACTTAATGTCCGACTCTGTATAGCTCGAATATCTGATTCCATGATCACACTACTAGTGCTTCCACGGATTTAAGAGGGGTAAACACAGTTCATTCTCACTTTAAGAGGCTACAAATTTAAAATTAAATAAATAAAAATATTCTAATTTAACGTGACTAATGTTAATTAAATACTTTTAGGCTTTTAACACGTATAAATCCACTTCTAACTTACAGATAAGATTGCGTTAGAGAACATGAAAGCCGTGGGTGATTTTTTTAAATAATGCTAATGATGAGTTACTGATATTTGGTTTGCATAAAACAAAGTAATCACTAAGCATTCATTTTTGGCAAAATCTGCAGAGAGGCTCAGCGACACGAGGAAATGTGTTAAAGTTGAGTAGAGAACTAAAGAGCAGTCTAGCCTACTTCATTAAATGTTTGTGGTAATATTCTGCTGTCAATTCGTATTACTGTATTTCAATATGCAGCAGTGATGGCATGTCAGCGAGACAAATAAACATTTTATCGAGTCATTTCATACAATTTATTTATTTATTTATTTTTTATACAAACCCTCTAGTGACATTTCCTCAAACTAAATCATCATAGCGTTACTGTGCACAGCATCAGTAAAACGTTGAGAATAATTTAAATACTTAATTTTTTAAAACAGTCACTGCTGATTAGAAACTAACATTAAAGCTAAGCTTACAGAAATCCTGTATGCATGACAATATAAAGATGTATTACTCACTGATGTCGAAGCACTTCCAGGTCATCAGAGATGTAGACAGGACAGAATATGTGCTATCAAATGAGCTCTTGTGCAGCCTTTGTTGGACATCCAGGTAGTATGTTCACCCACACTGTAAGAAACAAAAACAGAAACAATTTATTAAAATGTGAGGGATAGTAAACATGTTTGGTCTACAGAGAGAAGAAAATGCTTACTTTAAGCATTGATCCTAATGAATCTATTTCTGAACTACATTTAACCTTATCACGGAAACAGCATTTTTGAGCTTTTAGACCAGGGGTGCTCAACCTTGTTTGCTTTAAATTAGAATTAAAACAATAAATCTCTATGTCAAATAAAATACTTCAGATCTAAATAAAGCAGGTGATTTTACCTAAAGGTTCCTTCCCTCCAGTTAGTTTGGCTGCAAATCCCTCCACATCTGTGCTTTATTCGGTTCTTGTCTTAAGAGTAACTGGTGTCACATTCCAGGTTCATCACAATCTGAGCTAGAAAGACAATATGGCAAAAGACAAGACATATATAAATAAGTCTCAGAATAAAATATTTAAATGGATAGTTTACTTTTCTGCCACCATTACTAAATGTGTTTTAAATCCATTTAAATTTCTGTTAAACACTAAAGCAGATATTTTGAAGAATGTTAGTAACCAGTAACTATTGACATCCATATTTGAACCAAATTTCTTTAAAAAATACGAGTTTGTGTTCAACGGAACAAATTAAATGTATAACTATTTTGAAACAAGTGGAGGATGCCAAAGATGCTATTATTTTCATTTTGGGGTGAACTGTCCCTTCAATTCAAGTGTCAAGCAATAGTCATAAAAACGAATGTGTCGCTTGAGGAAAACTAAATCAAGTACCTTCTTTGAACAAGCAGAATCATTATGCCATTGTATTCAGTGATTCTCTTTTACATTTTCCCACTATAAAACGATAGCTTCAACATGCAATCCATGTTAACAAAAAAATGAATAGCATAAAATAACATATTGAACTAAACTTACAGTTACGCCCAGTAAAATTGCTAATAAACACAAAGACAACAGTTATAGAAAAAAATGTTTGTCTAATATTTACTCAGCACTTGGTAGGCAAATAGCATAGCCGTGGCTGTTTTAACACCAGATTTTGTTTATCTTAGGAACTGCTGGAAGAAGAAAAAGAGGTTGTACATGAAACTCCTCACAACAAATCTGTGAACAACTTGACATTTAAAAATCTAATCAAAATGTGGAAGACATCAACATTACCTTGAATAATCAAGTGAGGAGTGATTTGTTGCATCAGTTTTTCAACATCAATTACTGTAGCTGAAAAACAGATAAATATAATAAGAGTAAAATAAGACTTAACATTAATTAATCTAAATCTATGGTACAACCATACCAATCTGTATGGGGTTAAAATACATTTGTACACAAATCATTCCCTGACCCCGTCAATTTCACTTAGAATAGGATGGATATATATATATATATATATATATATATATATATATATATATATATATATATATAGTGATAATGACTTTGGCTTATATCTGTGTACTCAGAATGTACACTCACCTCAGGTACACCTGAACACCAAAAATTAAATGTACAATTAATGACACACTATACATCAAGCTCATTAACATTATTGAGAAATAGACAATTAATATGTATTTTGTTAATATTAACGTTAGCTTAAAATAATTCAACTGCATTTAATTTTCAGCTCCATTTAATAAAACAGTTAAGACTCATTTCATTATGAGTTTAGTTTAAATAACTAACTTACAGTTGAAAAATATTACCATAATGATAGCTTAGTCATAATGACTATGTGAAGACCAGAGCTTACCTTAACGGTAAACGTTTAACTTTTCATGGTGACTTCGCCTTCATCTCAGTGTTGTGCTGAAATAGAAAATTCATTAATGCAGTTACAATAAGTTAAAGTTATGTTTTTTTTTCAGGTAACTTAACGTATGGTCAAAAACTCACTCAAGATAAACTCACTGTAACGTTATCTAATACCTCGCAAACACTACAATGACCGCCTGGCGTCTGTTATTTCTTGTTTAAAATACCGCTTGTTAACGGATAGCGTGACATAACATAAGAACCTACAACTAATGTCACTTGGTTAATTCTTTTAAAATACACACTCAATACACAGAAATACTTATAAAACAATCCTTTAACGGACAGAATTTGACTTTAAAACACTTACCGAGGATGAATTCGCTGGATGAAAGAAGACAGGTGAATTTCAAATTAGGAGAGCCGTTGCCTGCATGTCGAGTCGTGTCCGTTCGGTTCTATGAATCGGCTCCTTAGTGAACAGTAAAGAATCGAATCCGCCTAAAACCGATTCCTTTTTGTATACGATTCATTACTATTTCGTTGTACTGCTTGGCCACACGCATTTATGCACTAATTATACACTAATTGCCTATTGCTGAATGAGCTTGTGCACACGTGTGATCAAATAATTCCCGAGCAAACGGTTCAATTCGGTTCAATACGATTCAGAGTTGCTCGAGTGCTGAACCGAACCAGTGCAAACGTGATATTGAATACAATATAGTAAATTTGTTTTTTATTCACTTTACCAACGAAATCAATACATATATCTGACCTTGACAATAAGAATAAAGTTCGTTTGAAGTGTTTTGAGAATTATATATAAATATTTTTTTTTCTCCCAGAATTCATTTCACATCAACAAGCAAATGGTAATGGCGGATGAGAAAGCCCAGCTAATATTATAAATATTGCGTTTAATATGTCACGAAATGAAATTTTAACAGTGTTTCATGCGAGAATGTAGTTCTTACAAACTCAAATCTGTGGTTTATTTATAGATATCATGTGTAAATTTTAAGCGTGCTTTGCCTATAGCGGAGATTCTGACCTCCAGGGTGTCCATCATCACTCATGTATCCGGCGAAACGAGGTTATAATCGGCTAGACATGTGAGACTTGCCCCGGTCTTAGATGGCTCTATAATGAATGTGTTATGAAATTTAGTTTTAACCGTTTTTCATGCGGGAATGTAGTTGTTTTAAACTCAAGTCTGTGGTTTATTTATAGGGATGGTGGATATTTTAAAATATTGTTTTGAAAATGCGGAGATATGTGACCTCCATGGTGATGACGAGTGCCCTAACCTCATGAATCCGTCTAAAGCAGGCTGGTCATTCTGACATTTAAGCTGACTTTGGTTTCATGAATCAATTACTTTTGTTCCAGTTTACGTTTTGGTTAAGCACAAAGTTATGTTGATTAAAAATGATTTAATATTTTCATGTTAACCTTATAAAATTAAGGTGCAGTACACCCAAATATGGAAAACCAGGGGACAGTTTTATGCACTGAACAGTCTGAAGGAACTGGTTATTTTATTTTTCTTCACAAAATACTTTGTCAAAAAATAAAATAAACAATAATAATACTATAAAGTGTGTGTAGAGTTTTTCATGGTCATTTGCAGTACTGTATTTAGATGCACAGTAACTGATTTTTTCCCAAAATTCATTGTAAAATCTGCAGTAGCATACTGTTAATCATGTTCACAGTATGGAAATGTTGAGAATACATTATCATGCTGTGAAAACAGCAATATATACAGTAACACACTGTGCACAGCTTATACAGTAAACAACTGTTGAGAAATACAGTATAATACCGTGAAAACAACAGAAATCGTTTACAGTGTAGGAGAAGATTTGTGTAAGATTTTTAATGTGGTTTTCATGATAAGGGAAAGGGAGGCAAAAGTAAAGCAAAGGGATTTAACTTAATTTCCTTCAAAAAAAAAAAAAAAAAAAGTGTACATGTGGCTCAATTTGCCCCAGATTAGGTGTAAATTTATCTCAGGCAGTGGGTAAACTGACGAGCTTGACTCACTGAACATTAATCAAAACCAGATGAAATTTTAAAGATAACTTACTTACTTTAAAACCTACTGTAACATAATTTATTTATCAATTTTCAAATTCTCAAAGCTTAAAAGATATTTATTTTTAATACATTTACGTTATCTTTTAGTTTATCACCAAAGGTACAAACTTCCCAAAAAGAAACTAATAAACATTTTAGTCAAAAGACTAAGGCTCCTACACACCGGGAAACTTTTCGTTTGCGTTTATTGTCAGCGTTTTTCAGTATTTCAGTTTTTCAGAAAAGTATTTCAGTATTCAAACCCAAGCGCTTTTGACTGGCGTCAAGCTGAAGAGTATGCAAAATCACTCTTTTGACGTTAGATGGCGCTGCACAACTTTAAGCTTCTGACACCCGCTTGTAACTAGGGTTGGGTACCGAAACCCTGTGCCATTATAGCACGGGTACCTTGGTAACCGGTATGTACCGGTATTAAATCAGAATATAAATTCGGTGCCTAATTCCAGTGCTGCAGCAAAAACGTAAAAAGCATCAAAGGAGTGCACGAAAAAAGGCACAAGCGTCGTGTCACAGCATCACTAAACATTTAATTCTAAACAACTTTGAGGAATACGGACAGGCGATATCAGGCGTTTGTTACAAGCCGAAGGTATCACAAATACACTATTAATCAATCGCGTTTACAATTACAACGCCGCATTAAACGGTGCTAATACCATTTCAAACTCCGCTAAAGACGCCATTCTGATTGCAAACGCCGCAAATAACGCGCGTAAACCTGTAAAAACGCTGTTTTAGTGTTAGTAAAAAGCTCGGCTTATAACAGATCCGCTTGCCACAAAACGCGTTTAAAACGGCGTTTTAATCCCACTGAAATGCGTTCTAAACAAGTGTGCCGCAAGCCTGCGTTTGAGTGAAGGTTTCGGCCGTTAGATCGCCCCCTGGGGGCTGGCTGCAGTACAAGTCATAAAGCCCGCCTCCTCCGTGTTAATGAAGGAGACTTGAGCCCAAATAAAAAAAAATATTACACTTGCAATAAAATGTCCCGAAAGATAGTTCTGGTCGATTAAGGCACTGGTTATTGTGCTGAAATAGGTGCAGATCTTCATTTTTGTAAACAGTTTGTTTTTAGCAGTAATTTAATGCTGGGCGTGTCATCGTGATTGACAGCTGTGATTGACAGTTTCTCAAAGCGCGGCGTCTAAGCTTCGGCAGGAGACTGAAGTAGACTGAAATGTTATTATTCGATTTCTGTGTTATTTTACCATGACAAAATGAGTTCAGCAGTAAACTATAGTTTCTGACATACATGATCCTGGTGGAACACTGTTTATTCGCTAAGTTCAGGGCTTTTTTCGGGCTTTATTAGTTTGCTGATACACGCCTAACCACCCAGATAGCAAAACACAGTTCCGGCTAGATTCTCGCCTGCCGGAGACTTATCTCTTAGAGCTCAGACTGACTAATGTTACCTCTGCTGGACCTACTCCGGATGCCTGGACTCACTACCCAATACCAGCCCGAGTCAATCGAGCCAGATGCGGCGGCCGAGCGAGCAGGCGCTGCCGCATGCGAGCCGGAATCAGCCCGCGACGCCGCGAGTAAGTTATGCGCTGCGGCCTGGAGCTGGCGCGATTGAATATATAAACCCCTCATATTTGTTAACGTTATTACATCCATTTGTGTTGATATGACAGCAAACGCATGCTGAGAAGTTCGGGGGGTGTGGTTGATTTTACATAAAGCGTTTGGTTGGAAGCTCGACTCTGCTCATTTTCGCAGCTCCTCCTCTGGCTCCATCAGACAATCCTTCTGCGCATGTCTGGCTCCAATTTCAGCAGTCTTTTGCGACAGTTTGTGCCCGTCAAGCAGGCGTTTTGCCCTCAAGGCGTTCAATGGGAAAAAGGGTTGTCGCGTCGTCCATATTTTTTACAGTCATTGGTTCTAAATGGCGATTTCCTGAAGTATAATGAGCCAGACACGCTGATTTCCACAGCCAGTAAGCTTGAGCTGCTCTCACCCAATCAACGATGAACAGAACCAGACAAGACTAATTCACCACTGATCGTAGCGGAAAAAGTGACTCTGAACTAATAGCAAATGCCTATTTACAAAGTACCTTTTACCATAGATCAATTACACGTCTTTATGCTTGTAAATGTTCGTTTTAGATAGATGGCATCAGCAGAAATGTATATTTTGGAAGTGCCTTGGCAAAAGTGAGCGGGCATGTTATTGTAACCCTTTTTTCTGGCTGTTTACAGACCAGTCTCTCCAACGTGGGTATCGTAAATAAACGCTGGTTACCGGGGTGATAATTTCTTTTCTTTAATCTGGAACATCGACATAACATTCACAAACAACATTACAACAGCATTGCATCTGCCGAATTCATCCACTTCCTTTTTTCCCCTCTCTCTCATGCTTTCCGGTGCGCCTCCCTTAAAGGAGCCAGAGCACAACAATAACTTTCTCAACTAACACTAGATTTCAGTGCCCAGTATATTTCACTGCTGTTAAATTTCAGGTCCTGTAGCCCCTCTACATGCAGTTAAGAAAGACAAAAATGAAAGACTATAATTATATCACATTGATATTTGTGAATAGCCAACAGCAACTAATGTAGATTAACTGCTGTTCAATTTCAGGTCCTGCAGCCCCTCTACAGGCAGGTAAGAAAGACAAAAAACCCTTGAAAAAAATTTTTAAGTCAAAAATGGCTTGCCATATTTTAAGAAAAATAATGCTTAATTATTTATTGGAAAACTATAAGTCTGATAAAGCTTAAAGATATAGCAACAAAATCTAACGCATCTAAATACAGCTTTTGGCCAAATTTGGGGCTTGTATAATTTTTTAAATGCTCTGATTATAAAAAATTAATATTTAACATTTTTTATTAAAAAAACAACAAGTCGTTGGCTATGCAGAGACCATATTTAATCAGAAATCTAGTGTACATAGTTTTACGTTAGGAAATGCAGTCTTGAATTTACAAACAATCGGCAAGTACCAAAGAACAGATGTAAGACATTGATGAAATGTAGTTTTCAGTCACGCTCATGTAAGTCGTATTTAACTTGTTTAGTTTTGCCTTAATTCATTTTTGATTTCCGTCTTCAACACAGGATTTATTTACAACACATTTTTTAACACAATAGTTTAACTAACTCATTTCTAATATCTACTTTATCTTCCACAAGGTGACAGTCAGTGCATAATATTTTACTAGTTATTTTGCAAGAAGTATTTTAGTATTTTTAAGTATTTTAGTTTTTTTATTAAGATTAAAGTGTAATTTAGACTTAATCAGTTAACTACGAAAGTTAAAATAATTAGTCAAATGATTTTGTAACTGATTTGTTGTGTACATCAAAAATATACAGTAAATATTTCTTAAGGAAGCTAATAAAATGAGCTTATTTTTATTAAAATTAAAAACAGCTTTTATTCACGAAGTAAACAATAAAAATAGGACGTATTATGACGAGTATAATTATTTTTTAGGAAACACTGTAAAAATTTTCAAAAACATTATTTTAAATGAATGGGAGGGCAAAATAAATTGACTTAAACTGTAGGCCTGTTAAAGTTTACAGGTGCAACAATGTGCCTTGATGTACTTGAATGTTAGAGATGTGTTCTCCTACACCAGTACAAAGTCACTTGTCAAATAAATGAACAAGGAAGATTATTTTGAGTTTAAGTTATTTCTCTTGTTTATGAAGACTGCAGAGTGATGCATGAACAAAAATTACTTTGAATAATGTTTTAAGTATTTTGTGATGCATATGTTAAAATGTGCTCCTAATAGTAAGTGGCCCCTGCCTGCCCCCACAGGTTAGTAGTAAGCTAATGTAATTTCATAATGCAAATATTAAATTCATGCTAACAAACAAATAATCAAAGGAAATGTATTAATGTAATACAATATGAATTGATGTTTACTTTAAACTGCAATTATATTGTTCTATTAAAATGATTTTTTAAAATATTTTGTCAAATAAAAAAATTTTTAGGACTCATCCACCATCATTTTGTGGCTAAAAAGTATCGATTCAGGCACCGTTTTGGCACCAGTATCGTTTTAAAAGTATCGATTTAGCACCGGTATCAAAAAAAACCCAAATGATACCCAACCCTACTTGTAACACAGAAGAAGAGGAGGAGAGGAAGTTCACACTTGTTGTTAAAGTTATTGGTGACTCGAACAATCATGGATGGTTTAAGAAGCAGCTCGCGTTTCCATCAACGTTTAACGTCTCGCGACTAAATAACGGGCGTCAATGTGATCGTGCACACCAACATGCAAAACAGCAGGCGTAAAAGCGTGATTTAAAAAAAAAAAACGTCTCATGCTCGTTTTTTTATTTGACGCTCCGCATCAAAACCTTCTCCACCAATCAGATCGGCACTTTTGTTCAAGTGCACAGAGCTGCTGAAATTACAGTAAACAGCACTTGGAGGCGCTCAAGCTTGTCCTGTGACTGTTTTATTTTTTTTTTCTATATTGCAGTTTTTCTCCTTTGTTTTGTAACAAAGGAGATCCTTTGTACAGATCCTAAGTGTTCAGCTTTGAATTAATGATAAATTCCGGCCGCAGTATTAAACTGATTGCTTATTCAGATTCTCCACTTCATTTTGTCCTTCCATGCATTTAACTTTCGCAACGCACTGAAACCCCTCCAACTCAAGGTAAGAAACACAAAAATGAAAGGCTATAATTAAAACACATTAACATTTATCAATAACAAACAGCAACTACAGAAACAATGTAGAAATAATGTAACTGCTATTGAATTTTAAATGAGACAGACACTCCATCTGAAGGTGAGTAAGACAAAAGTTAAACACTATAATTATTATTATCAGTATTATGATTGCTTATTCATATTCTCTGTTTTATTTTGTCCCTCCATGCATTTGTCTTTTATGGAGGACCAGTCTTTGTCTTTGATAGACTTAAATGAGCTGGCAACAATGTGAAGATGCAATTGTCTAAAAATCACATATGGAAAAACCAGCAAATCTGAAATAGCACAAAGTTAGGAATTTATGAGACTTGAAGTACAATGCAGTTGCCAAATGTCAACACAACAATTGATTTCAGTTAAAGTATTGTGGTTAAAAAAATGTAAATAAATGATGAGATAATAAATGATAAAACATCTTAAACTTAACATTAAGAGCACTGGACCGGAATGCAAAGCTTCAAGATGCCTATGTTACATTACTTGCATACACTTTAAAAACAAAATATGGCACTGGAGATTGGACTACTTTATAGCTGACCAAAAAAACATGAAAAATCAGATTATATTCCACCATACAACGATTTCTATACTTACAAGCAATAGAAAATTATGCTTTTTTATATTTACTTTAATTTGTACATTGTAATATGCTAAAGGTTTGTCACCTTTTCTAGAGAATACACCATTCCTCCGCACTGCTTGATGTAACCCAGTTCAAAAGGAGCACCGGATTCATCACCAAACTCTTCACTCAAGTTAATTGTGCCAACCAGCCTATTTTTATTATTCTTTGTGGTTTAGTTTTTGTTTGGCACTTGTTAAGATACTGTGTTGTAATCTAAGCTTGTTGTGTAGCCTACTTTTACTGATTGTTAGGAATCGAATAACTTCTATGAGAATTAGCTTATCAGATAACAGTCCTTGTTTTGCTAATTGCTAATGTTGAGAACTTTACGTAAACTCTGTTAGAATAGTGTTTCTTATTTTTTTTTGGATAGTTTGTGTAGTAGCACCATGTATGTGAAGGTTACGGTTTTAATTTCTAATGTACCATTTTCCTTTGGTTAATACGTTTAGTGGGTTGGGATTTGGTTAAATTGTTTTGTTTTATTTCTTTGTTTTGGCAACACTCCTGTTTTTAGTTTGATTCAGTTTATTAATTAATTCACATTATGAATCCCTATATTCATTGTTACTTATGAATGTTTAATAAATTACAGTTTTCGTTTCACATATCCGTTGTTGTGTCTCTTATTTTAATAAGCACCAGAAAATCTTACTTAATATTATGTCTTATGCCTGTAATAACTAAACACATAGGAACACGGTACAATTTTACTTAATTTATTAATTCATTTGTATATTTAAATACATCTGTATATTTATAACAAATATGTACATACAATTCAACATCCAGATCTTTTTGACTAACTGCATCTCTGTTAAACACACACATACACACACACACTATGGGCAATTTAGTTCATCCAATTCCCTTTTACTGTATTTTCTGGAAAACATGCAAACTCCACACAGAAATGTTACCTGGACCAGCCAGGATTTGAACCAGCGACCTTCTTGCTGTGAGGTGACAGTGCTACCTATTGATTTACTAATTAAATTACTGATTCACTAAGCATGTAATTTTAATATTATAATATTTACTTTCGTCTGGTTGTTTCAAGTACTTTTTTGGCTCAAAATAATGATTTATTATATTTTAATAAACAAAGTTTAGTAGTTTATAAAAATAAAATTGATGTATCAGTTATTTATCTTTGTTCTTAATATCATATAATTGTTCATAATCAAATCTGTTATTAAAAAGCTCATTGTTAATTATCTTGGTCACACTTTGTTTTGTGTATTAAAATTATACTATTAATAAATCCCTAACTATGACTTGCCTCAAACATCTATTTTGCTGATTATAAGGTAGTAGTTGTTGTTAGGTATTGGGTAGAATTAGGGATATATAATTTCATGTAGAATGTGTTCTTTGAAAGTACTAACAAACAGCCGATGTCTTAATAATAGGCATGCTAATGAGCAACTTGTTAATAGTGGGAATTGTTCCTTATATTGAAGTGATACCAAATTTTCTTATCATACACTACGCTTGTGACAACACACAAGTGGTTGTTTTTTCTTTTATTCTTTAATTAATAAAGGCTATTTTAAATACAATTACATTTTTCGTTTTACTTTCCTTTAACTTCAGTGTGACCTAAAATCTGATCGCACAACTTTACTTATCTCTTCAGCACCACTAGCCTAACCAGTTGATTAAATAATTAGCTACAGTATATGTCAGAGACCTAAAAAGTTAAAGCTGCTAATGCACTGAAAACATTTCACAAACACTATTATAGTCTGCAATTCACTCACTGAACACTTTGCACAATGAAAAAAAAAAACAATGAATAAAGCCACATCCAGATCCAACATTCCCCATTTCAAATGTTTCATATCATTCAGTACTACGACAGAGGTACAATGATGATAGGAGAATGATAAAAAGATGCTGCTAGAAAGAAGTCTTTCAGAAGATCTCCAGAAATAACAAATAATTTGCTCTTTTTTACATTTTAAAAAACAAATTACAGGCTTCAGAAAGAACTGGGTTCTCACTGCATGAGTGTAATCTGACAACATACTGTACAGTAACTAATGGTATGGTTAATAACTAATGGTATGGTTCAGAGCCGGCCCAAGGCATAAGCGAACTAAGTGGCTGCTTGGGGCCCCGTGGCCACCAGGGGGCCCCCAAGAGTGCTTGAGATTATTGTGTGACTTTCGTTTTAGTTTGTTGAGTTGTGGATTAGTGGTGGGACAAAATATATGCCCATTTATAGTGTTATTTCTGACAGCGATACTCAGGCGCCAAGATATTTACCTAAATTTACAAAAGATCTGATTTAATTAATCAGTTTTCCACACTGACAGCAGAAGATAACCACTTTAGCTACAGTACACCCAGCTGCCACCAGGTTGCGCTTCCTGTAATGGCGGATCATCGGACATACACCAGCGTCATGTAAACAACTGACAGACAGATGAGCCATTGCAATGGTGAAAATCTCAGGCATACAGACACTTTCTTCTGTCCAAGCTGGGCCAAGGTATTTGTGTGTTCAGACATCCAGCTCCCCCGAATTTGCCACTAGTTTCTTTCTTACAGACGCGCTTTCACTTCGCTAAATCACTCGCGCGTGCCCGCGGCCAGTGCAACTTCTTATGTGCTCAAACTTTTTTAACTCCGCCAATATATATACAGATACAAGTGTGCCGCAAGCCTGCGTTTGAGTGAAGGTCTCGGCCGTTAGATCGCCCCCTGTGGGCTGGCTGCAGTACAAGTCATAAAGCCCGCCTCCTCCGTGTTAATGAAGGAGACTTGAGCCCAAATAAAAAAAAATTATTACACTTGCAATAAAATGTTCCGAAAGATGGTTCTGATCGATTAAGGCACTGGTTATTGTGCTGAAATAGGTGCAGATCTTCATTTTTGTAAAGCAAAATACACTCGGGCCAGTTCCGGCTAGATTCTAGCCTGCCGGAGAATTACCCCTCGAAGCTCAGACTGACTACCTCTGCTGGACCTACTCCGGATGCCTGGACTCACTGCCCGATTCTAGCCCGAGTCATTTGAGCCAGATGCGGCGGTGAGCGAGCCGGCGCTGCCGCATGCGAGCCGGAATCAGCCCGTGACGCCGCGAGTATGTTATGCGCTGTGGCCCGGAGCTGGCGCGATTGAATATATAAAACCCTCATATTTGTTAACGTTATTACATCCATTTGTGTTGATATGACAGCAAACGCATGCTGAGAAGTTCGGGGGGTGTGGTTGATTTTACATAAAGCGTTTGGTTGGAAGCTCGACTCTGCTCATTTTCGCGGCTCCTCCTCTGGCTCCATCAGACAGTCTTTCTGCGCATGTCAAGGCTCCAATTTCAGCAGTCTTTTGCGACAGTTTGTGCCCGGCAAGCAGGCGTTTTGCCCTCAAGGCGTTCTATGGGAAAATGGGCTGTCGCGTTGTCCATATTTTTTACAGTCATTGTACAGATATCAATAGGATATGAACATTTAATTTGAAGGGCTTTGCGTTTATTTGACTCTTACAGACCTTGTCAAAGTCTTGTAGAAGGTGTTTTGGCAAAAAATATTAGGGTAATTAAAAAACTTAAATAAATGAGTAAATAACTAATGTTGCCCTTCGGTTGGGGAACTTCAGTGCCATAGAGTGGATTGATTGAAATCCACGAAAGGGAGATTCGGATCAGAAGCTGCTTGTCTGGAGAGTATTGAACGGGCCAATGAATGAAAATGAATTGGCAGCTTAAGCTTGCGCAGGTGTGCTGCATCGCCAATTATCCCAGCATATAAGCACACCTGAAGCGAGCAAACACCATCCTTTTCGCTTCAGATCCTTTCTGAGTGAGTCGATGAGGGTTCCTCTTGCTGTTCAGCACTTCAGAGCGAACGAGTGTCTCCCGGTCCAGAGTGGGTTTTCGCGGTGGCAGATGGTCGAGCTGGGTTTCTCCCTTGCCTGCGGTTCTTTGGGTCCGGTCCTCCAGAGCGGTGCGTATTGTTGCAACTTTCCTAAAAGAGCAAAACAGTCGTGCAGCACGTCCTTTTCAGGATGGCGCTCCGACTGTGCGTTTCTGGATGCGGGGGTTTCCTGGCTCCGGATGATGGACACGCATGTTAATGCGGTGCTCGCGGGCGGTTCATGTCGTCATCGCAATGCCACGACCGTTGCACAGCTAAGATCGCGGCTAACTTTCGTAAGAGAGCGAGCCACCCCAGTTGCCTCCTGTTCTAAAAAAGCAGCGGGCGCTCGGGCAGATCTGAGGGTTCCAGTGGGAGATAATCCGCCGCCCACGGGCTCGCAGACCTCTCGCTCCTCACGGCGCTCCATCCAAGCTTTGGGTAGTGGGAGTGATCCGTCTAACCAGATGGTAGCTCTCACGCTCGCTGACACCGGAGATCAGATGTCCTACGCGGCATCGGAGGGTGGGCTTTCACTGTCCGACGAAGATCCGGACCCGCTCGCCCCCTCCGGGCAGGTGAGCGCCGTCAAATCGGATCCTGAAGCGGACATGTTAGCCGTGCTTTCCCGGGCTGCTTCGGCCGTGGGGTTGGAGCTGGTTCATCCCCCAGCTCCGCGGCCGGACCGACTAGATGGGTGCTACGTAGAGGACCAGAAGGCAAAGCTTTCGAAGCCTCTCGTCCCCTTCTTCCCGGAAGTGCACAGTAGGCTCACGCAGTCTTGGAGGGCACCTTTCTCTGCCCGTGCTGCGTGTCCCTCCGCCCTCACCGCCCTTGACGGCGGAGCTGCAGGGGGTGTGTGGCGATCCCGTCAGTGGAGCAAGCTATCGCGGTCAATCTTTGTCCGCGCGGCGCCTCTACGTGGCGGGGTTTGCCCCGCCTCCCGTCCAAAGCCTGTAGGTTGTCTGCCTCCCTCGGAGCCAGAGCTTATAAGGCTGCGGGCCAGGCTGCTTCTGCTTTGCACGCGATGGCCACCTACCAGCGCTACCAAGCGCAGGCGCTGGCCGAGCTGCACGAGGGCGGGTCTAACCCAAGCTTATTACATGAGCTGCGCACCGCAACCGACTATGCTCTTCGGACTACTAAGTCCGCCCCGTGTGTGCTGGGGAGGACGATGTCCACACTTGTGGTTCAGGAACGCCACCTCTGGCTAAACCTGGCCGATATGCGCGATGTTGACAAAGTTCGCTTTCTTGACTCGCCCATATCTGAGGCTGGCCTGTTCGGCGACACCGTCGGTGAATTCACCCAGGAATTCAAGGCGGTGAAAGAGTGCTTCCCGGATCAGCACACCCACTCCGCGCTGCCCCACCGCTGGTACGTCATCGATTGTAGCGATGATTCCATTAGCGAGGGCTCTGCCTGCCTGGTTAGCGTGGGCCAGCCCCTCGTGGTGGCTCATACGCACAATCAGACTCGGTTACGCGATTCAGTTCGCGAAACGGCCCCCCAAGTTCACGAGCGTGTATTTTTCCAGGGTCAACCCCCCGTCCGCCCCTGTCTTGCGAGAGGAGATTGCTGCCCTCCTGGCGAAGGGTGCAATCGAGCCAGTTCCTCCAGCCGAGATGGAGAGTGGGTTTTACAGCCCTTACTTCATCGTACCCAAAAAGAGCAGTGGGTCACGACCAATCCTAGATCTGCGCGTTTTGAACCGCTGTCTGCACAAGCTGCCGTTCAGAATGCTC